TTTCTTGGGCCTAAGTATTGGGACAAGATGTGGCTGGGTCACAGGGTAGCTGCTGGAATGGGAGAGGGGGGCTGATTAGGAAAAGAGAAGAGATTCTGTTCAAAGGTTTGTTAGAGCCCTGGGGACAGAAATGTATATGTGTAGAGAGCTGAGGCAACTCAACAATGTGGGAGTAATGACTAATAAAGTTAGTCCAGCAGACATTTACTAAACGGGTGAGCCCGATAAATAAATTTTTGTTGAATTCTGTCTAGTTTGTTTTGACCTATTGTTCAAGTCCAAAAGCATCTTACTGTTTTTACATTGGCTCAGCATCCTCTTCGCAGCCTATATATGCACCTTCCTTTATATGTACACACTCTCTAAGGAGTAGTAAATGTCACCATGTCAGTATCTTTGCCCTCTTCTGTTGTTAAAATCTGCCCTATTTCTTGCTTGCTCTAAGAATGATTTTTATATTGCCACCAGCCAAGAAGATTGTGTACATGCCGTTTCTTGAGCTGGTGTGATGAAGACTTTAGCTTTTTAAAAATTTTTCAAGGAGATAATAATGTTGAATATCTTATTTTATTGATTATGCTATTATAGTTGTCCTATTCCCCCCTTCATTCCCTTCTACCCTGCACACGCCTTTAGTTTATGTCCATGTGTCACAAGTACTTTAGATTCTATATTTCCCATACTGTTCTTGCCCTTCCCCCTTTCTATTTTCTACCTACCATGTATGCTACTTATTCTCTGTACCTTCTCCCCCCTTCTCCTTCTCCCACTCCCCTGTTGGTAACCCTCCATGAGATGTCCATTTCTATGATTCTGCTCCTGATCTAGCTATCCTCTTAGTTTGCTTTTGTTTTAGGTGTGGTTGTTAATAACTGTGAGTTTGCTGTCTTTTTACTGTTTATATTTTTTATTTTCTTAGATAAGTCCCTTTAACATTTCATAGAATAAGGGCTTGGTGATGATGAACCCCTTTAACTTGACCTTATCTGAGAAGCGCTTTATCTGCCCTTCCATTCTAAATGAAAGCTTTGCTGGATAGAGTAATCTTGGTTGTAGGTCCTTGCCTTTCATGACTTGGAATACCTCTTTCCAGCCCCTTCTTGCCTGTAAGGTCTCTTTTGAGAAATCAGCTGACAGTCTGATGGGAACTCCTTTGTAGGTGACTGTCCCCTTAGCTCTTGCTGCTTCTAGAATTCTCTCCTTTATTTTTATCTTGGGTAATGTAATGATGATGTGCCTTGGTATATTCCTCCTTGGGTCCAACTTCTTTGGGACTCTCTGAGCTTCCTGGATTTCCTGGAAGTCTATTTCCCTTGCCAGATTGGGGAAGTTCTCTTTTATTATTTGTTCAAATAAGTGTTCCACTTGTTGATCTTCCTCTTCCCCTCCTGCACCCCTATAATTCGGATGTTGGAATGTTTAAAGATGTCCTGGAGGTTCCTAAGTTTCTCTTCATTTTTTCAAATTCTTTTTTCTTCATTCTTTTCTATTTGGTTGTTTCTTTCTTCCTTCTGGTCCACTCCATTGATTTGAGTCCCAGTTTTCTTCCCTTCACTATTGGTTCCCTGCACATTTCCCTTCATTTCACTTAGCATACCCTTCAGTTTTTTAATTTAATTTGTGACCAAATTCAACCAATTCTGTAAGCATCCTGATCACCAGTGCTTTGAACTGTGCATCTGATAGGTTGGCTATCTCTTGGTCACTTAGATGTATTGGCTCTGGGGCTTTGATCCGTTCTTCTGTTTGAGCCTTTTTTTTTTGGTCTGGTCACTCCTGTTACATAGTGAGGGGCAGAGCCTTAGGTGTTCACCTGTGGGGGGCAACCCAGTTGCTGGGTTGTGAAGCAGTATGTGGGAGCGGGGTCAGAGAGGGAACAGTGGTGCTTGCTCCGCTCTCTGCTGGTTTTTAGTTACTTCCCCCGCTTCCCACAAGCAAACTGGACCCTTCTGGTGCTGGTTCCCAGGTGGGTGGTCTATAGTGGTGAATCAAAAAGGCAGGCTTTGCCCTTAGGAAGCTTAAAACATGGAAACAATACTTAAGATTGTGGCAGACCAGAGATTGCAAAATATGTCCCAGTATATAATCATTTCAATTTGTATGAATCACATAAAAATGGAACTTCCCATATCTTCTGACACAATACATTATTTTTTATAGACTTAAAGAAAGAAGCAAGTCCTATTCAGCTCAGATGCTCTAGTAAAATATGACAGACTGGGTGGCTTAAACAACAGAAATTTATTTCTCAAAGTTCTGGAGGCTGGGAAGTCTGAGATCAGGGTGCCAGCACAGTTTCCGGTGAGAGCCCTCTCCTGGGTTGCAGACAGCTGACTTCTTGTTGCATTCTCACGTGGCAGAAGGAGAGTAAGCGGGTCCTATGGCCTTTTCTTATAAGTGTGCCAATCCCATTCATGAGCGCTCTGCCTCCATGACCTAATTACCTCCCAAAGGCATTACCTCCTAATACCACCACAGTAGGAATTAGATTTCAACATACGATTTTTGGGAGACAAAAACACTCACTTTATGACGGTAAATATTCCTTAAGCTGAGTGCAGTAGCACCCCCAATTTAAAATGGCCCTGACTGGTGTGGCTCAGTTGGACGTCGTCTGCAACATGACAGGTCACCAGTTCGATGCCTTGCCTTCCTCAGGGCACATGCCTGGGTTGCAGGTTCGGTCCCAGGTTGGGGCATGTATGACAGGCAACTAATCAATGTACCTCTCTCACAAAGATGTTTCTCTTCATCTCTCTCCCTCTTCCTTCTCTCTAAAAATGAGTAAAATCTTTAAAAATATATAAAATGGCTTGCATATGCACTTTCGAATGTGGGGATTGCCAAAACATCAGACTGCTTCTCTGGAGCAGAGCAAACGGCTCAAACAGTCTAGCTCTGGGTGGCAATGAACTAATCCACTTCAGCAGTTAAGGCCAAACTAAAGAGTGAAAGAGGTAACTTTCCGTTAACAGGACAGTGACATTTCATAATCCAAACCACACTTGGCGCTGTGTGCAAGTGGTCACTGCTGTGTCATCAGAAGGCTGTTTATCTCAGTGGACTCACAGTTCATGGGTACATTGGGGAGCGACTGACTCCTTTTCCTAGGTGTCCTGATGATTTCTTGTCCTGGTGTTAGTCATCTGGCATCAGAACAGATAAAGATGCTTGTCTTATACATTGTTGGTGCATAGTGATTGTTTTAAGGAACTCAGTCCACTGTTGGTATAAGACTTTTACCTTCACTCAGCCATCCCTAGACTTCAGTTCTGATTAACTTTAAAATCATCGATTTGTAGTTGTTGGCTGTAGAACTGTGTCGATACACTGAATGCCATTGCCCCCTGAGGGTAGTTATCTGTTGAGTTTTAGATGTTTTTGAAGAGGGCATAGATTAAAGAAAAGAGTCGAATGTTTAATTCCTTAGCTGGGACCATTTGAAACTCTGCCAACGTTTCTCTACTTAATAACCTTGGCAGTATCACTTTGAAAGTACCCAATAGACTTTTTTCATGAGCCTCTTGTAAATAATTTGGTGCCTTTTTTTTAAGCTGGCAAGGCTCTCATTGTTATAATGTATTTTATTAGATACATATTTTTGCATATTTTCAGGAAAAGGTAACAGAGGCTTTATGACTCTTTTCCTACTTTATTCATTTTATTTCTATGTACAGAGTTTATTAGGACTGACTTTTAAAAGAATAATAGCATTATTGAGATATAATGTACTTACTATGTAATTCATGTATTTTAAGTGTGCAGTGTCATAGTTTTAATATATTCACTACAATCAACTTAGAACACTTTATCATCCAGAGAAAGAGAAAAAACCTGCTAACCATCATTTGCTCCCCATTTCCTCCCACTCTACCCCCAGCTGCAGCCCTAAATAATCACTATCCCTATGGATTTGCCGATTTTAGACATTTCATGTAAGTGAAATTGTAACAAATGTGGTCCATTATGACCGGCTTCTTTCACATAGCATCACGTCTTCAAGGTTCATTCATATTGTAGAGTATGTCAGTACTTCATTCCTTTTTGTTGCTGAATAATACTTCCTTGTTTATATAGACCACATTTTGTTTATCCATCAATTGATGGACATTTGGGTTATTTTTTCTTTGGGGTTATTATGAATAATGCTATTATAAACATTGTGCATACTTTTTGTGTGTGAAGGTCTGCCTTTTTAGTGACTCAGCTGGCCTTTTAAATACCTCTGATGCCAGCCTGGCTGGGTGGCTCAGTTAATTGGAGCGTTATTCCATGCGCCAAAAAGTCACAGGTTCGATTCCTAGTCAGGGCACATACCTAGGTTATGAGTTTGATCCCCAAGGGGGGCACATATGGGAGGCAGCCAATCGACATTTCTCTGTCTCTATCCTAACCTTCTCTCTCTCTAAAATCAATAAAAACATATCTTTGGGTGAGGATTTAAATAAATAAATATTTGTGATATAATAGCTAAATAGGAAAGGAGTCCCAATTTCTCTTGCTCAGCACTTCCTTTTCAGGCGTGTGAAGTGTCTGGATTACAAATCAGGTAGCTGAGGCCCAGATAAGGTGGGCAGCTTCCCTGAGGAAAAAAGAGATAGAGTGATGGAGTAAGGCCCTACTCCCAAGTTCAATGCTTTACCAATTGGTGTGGAATCATGGAGGAAAAAAAAAAAGACTTAAAGCCCACAGTGCACATACTTGTAAAAGTCTTGCAGACTTTTTCTGTTTGCTCTTTCTTCTATTTGTCATTCTGAATAGTGTGATCTGGTCTGAAAGCAAAAGAATAAGAACTTCAAAGTGAGAATGTTCCTTAGAGATTTTCTTAGTGATGTTACTTCTCTCTCAAGGTCACAGTGTTGGTGGCAGAACAACGATTGGAATTCCAGTCTCTTCACTTCTCATCCTGACCCTCATTCTACCACCTGAGGACAAGCATTCGTTGCTCAGGAGCTGGGTGAAGGGTGTTGCTGAGTCATTTTGTGTCTCTTCTCTAATAGAATCCTGTCACAGGGCTGCTGTCTGCCAGTCATGAGCAGAAGGATGCCTGGGTGCGGGATAACATCTACAGCATCCTGGCCGTGTGGGGCCTGGGCATGGCCTACCGCAAGAATGCTGACCGTGATGAGGACAAGGCCAAGGCCTACGAGTTGGAGCAGGTAATGCTGACTATCAGGCATGTCTTGGCTGCTCAGCACCTTTTCCTTAAAATGAAAAGCCTACAAGGAAGCAGCTCTGTGTGCAGAAGTTTGGTGCAGGTGTTGGGTACATCTCTGCTATAGAATATTTTTGGGAGGTGCTTAAGCGGTGTCACCCTCTCATTTATCTTTCTCTTTGAGGCGTTTTTCTTTTAAAAAATCACACTGGATAGGAAAATACAGCATTCAAATTTCTAACTAGCTACATTTCTCTCACACATGTTCCATTAGTTTTAGCTGTACTTATATATGAGGTTATATAAACTAATATGATTGATTTTAAAAGTCAGTACACAGAACAACACATTCCAAAGTGTATACTCCTTTCACAGTAGTTATGTCAAAAGGATACTTATCCAAACAGTATTGCTACTGTTTAAAACATGGTTGGAATTTCCCTTAAAAATGCCTTTCTAGTTTGAGCCATTCCAAAGCAGTCTTATTAATTTATACTCACCCTCTAATTTTGAACTACATTGGTGTTGTCTAATTTTTGTGCTTATGTTGTCATATAGCACAATGAAGTCCTTTTATTTTTTTCCAAAATCAGAAACCAAGATACTCACCAAAGGCAATATTTACCATCATTGAGTACGTAAGAAAATAATATGTCCCTGAGCACAGGAGGTATTTTCAGAATGTTTTGAGTGATAGCATTGAAGTAGGGAGCAATGACACATAAAAGTATAGTTCTCTTGGCATGATAGCCTTTGGGATTCCTCCCTTCCTTCCTTCCTAAGAGAGGGGAAGGGAGAGAGAAAGAAAGGGAGAGAAACATCAGTGTGTGGTTGTCTCCTTGGTGCCCCCAACCGGGGATCTGGCCCACAACCCAGGCATGTGCCCTGACAGGGAATCAAACCAGTGACCCTGTGGTTCACAAGCCAGCATTCAATCCACTGAGCCACACCAATTAGGGCCCATTGTTATTTGAGACAAAATCAAAGTAAAGCCATGCCTGTCTGCACACACACACACACACACACACACACACAGATACTCACACAGCTCTATCTCTCCTCTATAAGCGATTTCTGATCCAAGTTAAAGTAGACCCAATTTGCTGCTCCATAATTGAGAACAAAGTGCAAACAGGCACTTTGTTTGGTTTGTTGAGTGTGGTTAGTAACTAAAGGAGACATCTCCTTTGATTGTGGAAATTAAGGATCTTCCAGTGATCCTCAACAGGGATGCTATTGCTTTTGGGGCATAGGCAATACAGCTATCCGTTGTGTGAGACTGCCCATGCATTGCAGGACACTTAGTGTCCTTGGTCCTTACTAAATACCAGTAGCCCCACTCCCATCATGATGACAATAAAAATGTCTCCACCCCCACATTTGCAGATGTTCACCTGCTCCCAGGAGATGGTAGTGTCACCTGCAGTTGGGAACCACTCAGCTTCTTCATAATGGAAAAACAACTTTTCTTTATCTGAGGGGAAGTAAAACTGACAAATGTTTATGCTCTACACTGCAGGAAATGTTCATTATAACAATGTTAAATTATACCTTATATTTATGAGGTAACATTTTCTGTCTCAAAAGACTATACGATATAAAGTAAGATTATATTCTAGTATCCTAGGATTTTAAAGGCAGAGGTATCTGAAAGATGATACTCTCCATACTTTTCTCTGGTGATCAGCTTTTGTAGCCCTTCACTACATCCTCCCCTGCAAACCATGTACATTCTGTAAGAGAGGAGACACTCACAGCCCTGGGTAGGAGCTATTTTCAGCCAGGCTAGTTTGACCTAGCCTGTTCTCCAACCACTTGTGAAGTAGTTTTATACCCTTGTTAATAGGACATATAACGACCAGTCTTTCAACGGGCCTGAGTAGTGAAGGAAGTGAGAGGCTGCATATTGTATTGACTAAGAGCTCAAACTCTGGAGTCAGATGGCCTGGGCTCAGTCCTTGCTCTATCTGCTGCCAGCCAGGAGGCTTTAGCAGTGTTACTTCATCTCTCTTGGCCTCTGGTTCCCATCTATAAAGTGAGGTAACAATGATACCTACTTCATAAGGTTGCTGCAAGAATTACAGAGAATCGGGTGCAGTGTTTTGTACAATGCCTGGAAAAAGTATCTGATTATCATATTATTACTGCTGTTCATCATGATAATAAGAATTATAATAGTTGGTTACAATACATATTATTGAGAAACCTTGGCAACTACTTGCATTTTGTAAGAACTTTACTCAATAGTCCGGTAATGGTGTCACAAATGATTATTTTGGCACAAATCAGCATTACTTCGGACAGGCATGGTGGACTTAATTCACTCTTGCATAACAAAACTAAATTACTAAGAATTGTGCCATAAACCTCCAGGGGTACTAGGCTTCTTCAGTTGTCTTGCTAAAATATCAATGAATAATCATTGGATTCCAGAGCCCAGAAGTGCCATCTGATCCAACCCCTTTATTTGATTGAGATAAGTCACTTCGTGAAGATTTTCTGTTTGTGATGGAGTGGGGAGGTGGAAACAACTAAACAATCAGAATACTTCTATACGCCTGGGATCTGCCTTCTCAGGGAAGTCTGCAGGCAGCACTGGCTTACAGGCCACGTGGTTAGGTTTTCATGGAGCAGGGAAGCTGGCCTTGTTACTGATCCCACTTTATTTCTATAGAACGTGGTGAAGCTCATGCGGGGCCTTCTCCAGTGCATGATGAGACAGGTAGGTGGAAAGCAACAAATGTGTTTGCAAGTCATCCGAGTGGGCATTTTGCCATTTTCACAACAACTGATCTTCTTAAAGCATTTTGAACTTTCCTTTCAAGACGAAGAGGCATTGAAAATATTTTGCTTACTTTCTCCTTTTAAAATTATCTTCAATACTTGCATTACACCAGAGAACCCAGACTCAAAGGACACTATATCTCAGAATCTCTTTTGACTAATTACTTGTGTAAAAAGAGAGCATGCCTTCTTTATTTTAAAAAAAATGGGCAAGAAAACATTGTGTTTAAAAGCCACTCCTAGAAAGCCATGTTTATTCTGCTGAGTTTATAAAAGGATTTCTTTTTAGTTGAAATGCTTGAGTTTCTAAAATTTGACATTACTCTTTACTGGCATTTGCAGTAAGGGTAAATAAAACAACTCACTGAGCACATTGTGTATAGAGAACATCATGCTAAGATCTGCAGACAGTTCATGGTGCTCCCAGAGGTAGCAGATAAGAGGTCTGTATCCAGCAGATCAATGTTGGGTGTGACCTCTGCCGGCCAGGAATCCCTTAGCTATGCAGAGCCAGCTTGCCTTCTTCCTCAGGTGGATAAAGTGGAGAAGTTCAAGCACACTCAGAGTACCAAGGACAGCCTGCATGCCAAGTACAACTCTGCCACCTGCAGCACTGTGGTGGGCGATGACCAGTGGGGCCACCTCCAGGTGGATGCCACCTCCCTCTACCTCCTGTTCCTGGCCCAGATGACTGCCTCGGGTGAGCCAGGGCCATTTGAGCCCCTTGTATAGGGAATGACAATCCAGAGATGGGCAGGGAGGGGCAAAATAAGTATTCGAAATAAGCTATTTCTATAAAGAAAGAGCATCCTTCTTTATAACAGTATGAGCACTGACTCTGTGATGGGCCAACGGTCAGCCTCCTGAGCACTTACAAGATGAGGGCTGTTGAACCAGCTCTATTAGCACCTCTCTAGCTGATCGCAAAGCTTCCTTTCCATCACTGTTACCTAGTTACTGGCGCAACCTAGATCGGATCTACCTTCAACCATTCAAATGTCTGCAGATGGTGTCATGGCCCCTCTTAAAATTTTCTTCTCCAGGACTTTATCAATGGATATGCTACAATTAACTTACCTATTCCTTTATTCCTTTTACTTTTTTTCATAATCAATGTTGCAATACCAATTTTGACCTCATCTATTTGCTTCCTTCCATTAGTTAGAGATCATTCAAGGAGTGCTGTAGGCCCCACACCTCCTCTTTTGAGCCTTTCTGCTTGTAGGCATACACGCAAAAGTGGAGCCATTCTTTCCTTCCTTCCCGTCTTCCTCTTTTTGAGATTAGACATTAAGTGTTACAATTTACTTCAGACTTAATTTTTGATGCTCTAGTTGGAAAACTTACAGTTCACATAAAAGGATCAATTTGCTAGTGTAACTGAGAGCTCTCTTCATGGCATAACTTCATCATTTCATTGTTTGTTTTTCTTTACTAGGCTTACGTATTATTTTCACCCTCGATGAGGTGGCTTTCATTCAGAATCTTGTTTTTTACATAGAAGCTGCATATAAAGTCGCTGTAAGTACAAACCCCAGTAGTTTTTTCAGTTGTCAAAAAGAGTACAAATTATACAATTCTCTGAGGGCCAGGCTATTTGGGGCTGACCAGAAGGTTAGCATGATTCAATCTATAAGATTTTGTCACCTCCACACACAAAGTGCACATTTTTGTCCTGGGACACAATTGCAGAGTTCGTGGTTTGGGAATGCACCACATGCTCTGTTTGAATCCATTGTTCTTGTTTTAAATAAGACCCAAAAATGTCCTGTAGCCTGTACGTAGGCTGGCCCTAATCAGGTTTAAGGGCAGCAGCAGCAGCGCCTTGGTGGGCACTGCAATACTGCGGGGTTCATCCCAGGCTGCCCGTAGGTGGAGGGGCCTGAGCCGGATGTGTGCCCCAGGCCAGGTGTGTGTGGGTACAAATGTGCATAAGCCCCATCTCCTCCAGGGTTGACTATAAGGTTAATAAGGAAAGAATAGAGTTTGGTTTGAAAAAGAAAACAAGTATGGTCTAAAGCAAGGCTCAGCAAACTTTTTCTATAAAGGACCAGAGAGTAAATATTTTCAGCCTTGTGGTCCCTATGGTCTCTTATGCTGCAACTCAACCCTGCCACTGTAGCAGGAAAGTAGCCATAAACAACTCATAAACACATGAGCATGGCTGTGTCTCAAATAGACTTTATTTACAAAAATAGGTGGCAAACTAGATTTTCATCCAAGGACTGTAGTTTGCTGTCCCCAGGTGTGAAGTGGTGATTTTTAACCAGGGGCAATCTTCCTGTTTCTGGAGACACTGGGCAATGTCTGGAAATGGTTTTCATTGTTATACTGGAGAGTGTGCTACTTGCATCTAGAGGGTGGAAGCCAGGAACTCTGCTGAACATCCTACAGTGCACAGGACAACCCCCACCACAAAGAATAACTCAGCCCAAAATGTCAGTAGTGTTGATGTTGACAAACCTTGGTCTAAAGAAGCTTAAGAAATTTGTGGAAAAGGTGGGACTTTAGTTGGACCTCAGAGAATGAGTTGGGGCAGATAAGCAGAAGGGCAAGAAAGGGGTATTTGGGGTGAGGCAGGAACAGGCTCTGAGTGTGTGAATGTAGGGGGATGCTTGGGGAAAAGGGGTGCAGAGTGAAGGAGCAGACTTAGGGTAAAAGTTGAGTGTTGGAGAATTGTAGAAAATAAAGTCAGTTTGTAGGTGTGTAGGGGGTGAAGGGCAAATAATGGAGGTATGGGCCGTCCAGAGAGATTTGAACAGGATCCACTAGGGTGGGGTAAACAGTTTGTCGCTTTAGACTTTTAAGCAGGAAGTGAGCTAACAAAAGCAGTTTTTGAGTTGGAGTGAAGATGAGATAGACGTGGAAAGGTCCAGGTGTGAGGAATACTGAAGGAGGGAGTCGTGGGCCTTGGCTACAAAGCAGAGTGTAAAACCACTCTAGTGTGTCTAGGTGGAAATTTATCATAAACAAAGCAACAAACAACAAATGTTGGAGAGGTTGTGGGGAAAAGGGGTTCTTAGTTCACTGTTGGTGGGATTGCAGACTGGTACAACCATTATGGAAAACAGTATGGAATTTTCTCAGAAAAATAAAAATCGACCTGCCTTTTGACCCAGCAATTCCACTACTAGGATTATATCCTAAGAATCCTAAAACATCAATTTCTTTTTTTTCCTACTTTTTTTTAAATTAAATTTTATTTAGTTACTTTTCAAGTACATTTTTTTTAATCTATTTCTCCCATCCCACCCCACCCCCCCGCCCGGTCTCCCCCCTCCCTCCCATTCCTCCCCGCCATGCACCACAATGTTCATAGCAGCACCATTTACAATAGCCAAGAGTTGGAAGCAACCTAGGTGCCCATCAGTAAATGAATGGATCCAAAAACTGTGGTACATATACACAATGGAATTCTGTGCAGCAGAGAGAAAGAGGGAGCTCCTACCCTTTGCAACAGCATGGATGGAACTGGAAAGCATTATGCTGAGTGAAATAGGCTAGGTGTTGAAAGACAAATACCATATGATCTCACCTTTAACAGGAAGCTAAACAACAAAACAAGCAAGCAGAAAAAAAAAACAAAGACACTGAAATAGAGAATAAGGGGACAGTGACCAGAGGGGAGAGGGAAGGGAAGTTAAGGGGAAAAGGGGGGAGGGATTTGGAGGAACAAATAGGAAGGACACAGGGACGAGAACTAAGGGGGGTGGAGATGGGAGGGAGGTGGGGAACATGGGGCGGGGGAGGCTAGGGTGGGAGAAATAGACAAAAAACTGTACTTGAAAAATAACTAAATAAAATATTTTTAAAAATGTTCATCTTCGGAGACGAAATAACAAATACAGAAATTTTGGCATTGGCCCTGTTTTTTGTTGTGTTGTAATCTTTCAGTGGTGCACATAGCATTATTTCAAAACAGCACCCAGTACTTGGGTTTCTTAAGAGAAAATATGAATTATAAAAGTTAGATATGCATGTATCAGTTCATCTATATGGATAGAATGTTCTTAGCCAACTCATATTAATGAGTTTAAGATAGCAGTATTCTGTGCCTTAGTTTTGACTTGGGCTCCTGTTACTCGCTGAGCATTTTTTCCCCCCAAGAAGTAATGCTAGAAAAAGATATTAAATTATTTTAAATGGTTTGGTTGGCTTCAACTATTTATAACCCATTTGTTAAAGTTTCTTTATTCCATCTCATAATTTAATATAAGTTCAAAGGAATTAGCTAAAGAGAAGGGCAGCATTTGATTTTAAGATAAATAAAACATTTTGTTTTCCACAAACCAAGAGTTTCTTACAAATTAATAATTTTTAAGAATGAGGAAATTGAGAGCACTTTCACATGCATTTTTGGTTTCACCTGAGGATTTCCTTCCAAAACTCTACACAAAGATCAAATGAACTGAAATCAAGGAAGAGCACAGCCTGAGTCTGTAAAGCCATGAATCTGGTTGTCTTCGAGAAAAAATATGCATGTTCCATTATGCCTGCTGTAACATAAAGGAGTCGTTTTTCCATAGCACTTCTCATATTCCTCTTTCTCCTGTTCTGATTGCTACCTTTTTCCCCTGCAGGATTACGGCATGTGGGAACGTGGTGATAAGACCAATCAGGGCATTCCAGAATTGAATGCAAGCTCTGTAGGAATGGCCAAGGTGACGGCTCATCCTCTTTGTTCTTCCTTCTGTGCATTTTTACTGCTTTGATTTGGTTTTCAAGAGAAGTTTGGAATTAATCTGATTAGTATATTTTTCAAAAGTCAACAGCAAGTATGAAATTCAAGTGGCGCATGTACCCCAGCCAACTGAAATTATAGGTAAAGCATGTAGGTTTCATACAATGAAATCTGCATGTGCCTAAAAAATAAGTGCACTCCCTCCTCATTATCCATTGTTATCACCTGTGGGTCTGAGCTCTTGCTGTTGTCTAGGAAGGTTGATGGAGACATCCAGTCTTTTTCTCTGGGTCATAAAGAGGGCTGAAAAACATGACTACTTTGTACGGCAGAGCTCACATGGTCAAAAGTGTTTAGGGTTAGGCAAATGAGGTCAGCCAGAAGGGAAAATATTGAGAGGTACTGGGGTACTAGGAACGTTCTCTAAAGGCATTCCAATTCAAAATAATTTTAAAAACTTGAGGCCAAGCAAAACACACCTGTGGGGCAGAGTAAGTCTGCATGCAGGTCACTAGTTTATATCTCTTGCCCTAGACATTTATCATGCCTCTCTCCCTTCCTCCTGAATATCAGCATGTACTTTTGGACAGAGTAAAGGCTCCAGAGCAACAATTGTTACAGCAACAATCAATACGCTCTATGAAGAGAACAGATGGTTGCCAGAGGAAAGGGGGTTGGGGGACTGGGTGAAAAAAGGGAAGGGATTTACAAGTACAAATTGGTAGTCCAAAAATAATCACGGGGATGTAAAGTACAGCATAGGGAATACAGTCAGTAATACTGTAATAACTATGTATATGCTGCCAGGTGGGTACTGGAAATATCAGTGGGAACAATTTGTAATGTATCTGATTATCTAACCACTATGCTATATACCTGAAACTAATGCAAAATAATATTGAATATAAACTGCAATAGAAAAATAAATTTTAATTAAAACTATGTTCTGTTAATGTCAACTGATAGCAGATATACTCAGTATTAAAACAATTAACTTTCTTGGGTGCCAGATATGTTAATGTTAGGAGTTAATCACTGAAATAGGTGAGAATCTCCGGCCATATCACTCTGAATGTGCCCGATCTCGTCTAAAGTGGGAGAAGGAAAAGCTGGATTTTAATTTAATGCCCCACACACATACTGATAACATTATACACTCGTTCCTATTTCATTTTTGGTAGAGTGGTTTCATTTTGTGAAATGTTTTTGTATTTTCTCTTGCTTGTTCCTGCAATGAACTGCGACATTCAGGAAAGCTCTGACCTAGTGAAAATAAGGATAGAAAATGACCATAGGACTCTGTAGCTGGATTTTCAAGATGCATTTCATCACCTTTGGGAAAACCTGTATCCTAGATTGCTTAATGAGAACAGAGTATCAGACATGGGAGTGCATGTTCACTAGAAAGAAAAGGTAATTCAGACCTGTGTTTGTAGGCAGCACTTGAGGCGATTGATGAACTGGATCTTTTTGGAGCCCACGGAGGACGCAAGTCAGTGATCCATGTCCTGCCCGATGAGGTTGAACACTGCCAGGTAACAGCTCAGCCCTCTCACATTCCAGACAGCTGGGAAGGAGACTCACGGAGGGAAGACCTGGGCTGTAGGTTTCCTCACTCGTTTGGTGGTACTGGCTTTTTTGAGCTTTAGTTCCCTTGTCCATGCACTTGGCATATTGGGCCCTTCCTCTCCTGCTGCACAGCATGGTCCTAAGGATAAGAGTAAGCCAACTAAATTTGTCAGAGTACTTTGTAAGCCAGAAATTACCATGCAAACCTAAGATACACCAGTGTTATATATGGAGTCAGCAATCAAGGCACCTTTTTTTGTGGAAAGCAAAATCTGTTTTATTTGTTTTGAGCACATAGGTGGTTTTCTCTCAGGTTTACTTTATGATGTGCCCAGATTGAATGACTAGCAAGCACTAGTTCACTTGGGGAGGGGAGTGGAGATGGGCACCATGGGGCAATGATGGAGAGATGAGATGGGGAAAGTGGCAAATTAGTAGAACCTCCAGGAAATCCAGATAAGAGAAAGGAGTGATTTGGATGCAGGTCAGGGAACTTCATTAAGCAGACAGTAGGTCACCAACTACTGGCCAATCAGCAAACTCTTGTTTAGTGAGGGCCCGCTGTGTGCTAGGGCTGTGGGACTCAGATACGTAACAACTTATAAGCAGAGAGCTTCCAGTGGGAGTATATGTTTCCAGGCGGAGAGAGCCTGCGGAAGAGTGACTAAAGAACTAAGCTTGGGGTGAGGGGTCAGCTGGCTATAGAAAGTGAATTTTGATTCTGAAGCTGAAGGATTCTCCCCATTTTTATCCCACTCTCCAGCTCAGTCCATTTTCCCCCATTAAATAGTCCTAAGTGGGGAAACTGCAATTTCTTGCAATTTATGGTTTCATAGAGTCAAGCTGGTGTGTGTCTTGATAGATATGTAGTCTAGTGGAAATTCTGTGAGCTTTGTAGCCAGCTGGGCCGGAGTGGGAATCCTAGATCTGTTGCATACTAGCTGCATTCCTTTAGGCCTGAGTCTTTGTACTCACAGCACATGTGTGAATTGGATGTACTACCTGAATTCCTTCTTCATATGGACAGTTTAATAAGCTTATGTTTGCAGGGGTCTAGCACTATGTCTGTACATATTAACTCTCGTGATTAGCTTCCCCTTACCAAACTTTTCCTTATAATCTCAACTTCCTTTAGTTTCCTGTGCCTAATCCAACCACTTTATCATTGAGGCCACATTGTAGTATCGCTAAGTAACCCATTCTCTCTAGGACTAAACTAGTTCTGTTGTTTACCATTTTGCCTAAGCGTTCTTGTGTTCTTCTGGATTTCACTTTTTCTTTAAGCGGTTTCTCAGTCACCCTGTCCAACTGGTCACATTCCATAGAAACCAGACATTTCTCTGTACTGGCCCTGTATGTGTGTTCTTCTCTATCTTTGTCTTCACAGATAGGGCATCCTAGCATGTTGACACAGGTAGCCCTTAGCTCCTCCCCTGTGTGTCCCGAAGCCCAGTGGAGTCAACAGAAGTCACAGAAGGAAGGGAGACAAGCAGTTCTTGGCTTAGGCTCCAGGCAGTACTGTGCTCTCCCTGACCCCTTATTTATTCCCCAAGGAATAGGAATCATTGGCTGGGTGGGCAAGGTAGCCCATCAGGGGTCATGTTGGTAGGACATAGCTTTAATTATTTGAATGTTTCTTTGGGACTAAGGTCATGATCTCTAGACATCGTCTGTAACTATTACTGCTTCCAAGGTTAAAGCCACCTCTGTTTTTCATTCAGTCTATTCTGTTCTCCATGCTGCCAAGAGCATCGACATCTAAAGAGATTGACGCTGGACTTCTTTCTATTATTTCTTTCCCGGCCTTTGCAGTGGAAGATATGAATCTTGTGAATGTGACCAAAAATGAAATTATTTCCAAGCTCCAGGTAAGGGTTGGTCACACTGGTGCCGTTCTGCCCTGAGTTAAGTGCTACTTTCATACTATGATTTGGAGCAGCTCTCCCAGGCCTCAGTTCTCCATGAGGTCAATGGCTTGGTTTGTCTAAGTGGGCTCATAGAGCGATATATTTAAAGCTGAGTCTACAGGTGAAAAACTAAGTCTCTGAGTGATCAAGTGCTTGCTTCTCTTCCTAAGTAGTGAGCTTGAACTCAAGCCACCATCTTTGAACCCCAATTCATACCACTCCTATACTTCTAAGGAAGAGCTGCTTAACCATTTAAAGGTCACAGAAAGGCTCTTTTTGAAAATGTATTGAAAGCTACAGTGTCCCTTCCAGAAAAAAATACACATGCTCCAATATCCTCAAATTTTACATGTAACATCAGAGGACTTGGTAATCCCTAAATTAAATTGAGATTAAAAAAAGACCCTGCTCTGAGTAACTGGGGAAGTATGACACATGACACCAGAGTGAGAATGTTATTAAATATTCCAGCCACCTGATCAGTGAAATTATCCAAGAATGTAAGTTTTCTAAGCCCAAATCCACCTATTTATGATCTTAGATTCCATGAAAAATGCTTTTAGCCCTTGGAAACAAGAGGTTTAAGGGTCCAGTCACATCCCCAAAAGAAGTTGGCTGTCTTAGTCAGGGTTCAGTGGAGAAAAAGGAACCCCTCTAGACAGTTGAAGCAGGCAGAGTTAATACAGGGAATGAAGCATTCAAAGGGGAGCAGATTCTAGGCTGGGCCTCCCACAGTAGGCCAGGGCTGGCCACTAGGGCCGTGCTTGCCTCCACAGCCCTCACTAGAACCGCCCAAACACACTCAAGGAACTGGGAAGTGGTCATCCAGAGCTGCCATCCAAGGGTTAGGAAGGCAGATTAAGAGAGCACCACCACTGCCATATTTTCCTGACACTCAGGAAGCTGAAGAAGAAGGGACACTGGAGCCCGCAGCAGGAAAACCAGCAGTGACCGCCCTAAGCCGCAGGAAGCCCCATCTGCCTCCCTGTCAAGCTTGCAGATTGCAGGGCTCCTGCGCCCCCAAAGCCTAATGGCAAGAACTCTGGAATGTCCATTTAGCTTCCCAGTCTCTCAAGTAGAAGCAGTCCAATCCAAGTATCTGAATGGTGGGTTCTCCAAGCAGTGAGGGTCCCTTTGCATCTTTGTATAACATAACACATCAGGATGAAAGGCTGGTCATTCACTGAACCCTCACTAATTACTCTCATACGCCTCATAGTCTTATGTAATGTTTTGGTATTTCCTTCCAAGCACCCATCAAACCTGAATTTACTTTGCCTAGGACTTAAAAATAACTTTTTGTACTGATAGCAAAGAACATTTGGTAGACATTTTATTACTAAAAGACTCATGAGAAAGGGGGTAGACTGTTGGCTGGAATTAAAATGAAAAGGCAAAGAAATTCTTCTAATTACCTCAAATGTACTTTTTTTTTTTTGTCTTCTTAGGGGCGTTATGGATGCTGTCGCTTCCTTCGAGATGGCTATAAAACCCCAAGAGAGGTTGTATTTAAATAATGTTTCTTATGATTCCTAAACTGCTTATCTAAGTTGCCACTGTGGTGTCCTCCCTCTTGATTATAATTACATGTTAGAATATTGGAAAGGGAAGTCTTAATTTTGGAGTCAAAAAGCCTGGAGTTAGGCAATAGAATAGTAAGATCATCAGGAGGACAGCAAGCTGGTGGTTTAAAACCAGCTTATAGACAAGGACAAACAGTTCTGTGGCTCACACGGTTTTTTAAATACCAACCCTGGTCGCCTCCTTGGGTTTCTTTGCCATAGTGACTGATACTTGTATAATGATATGAATAAAACAGCCTGCCAAGCACTGTGAGAGACAAATTGCTATTTATTTGTTGGAAATATAGGAAGCTTAATCTAATAAGCTACCAAGGAGTCTTGTGAACATTTCTGATTTACTTTTATGAAATTTTACCATGGAAAACTGCCAACAATAGCATCTCCGCATTACAGCAGAATTCTAATTATACCAACCTCAAAGCTGCATTGAAACAGACATGCCAGGGAAACCCAGAGTGGAACAATGATATTATGTATGTAATCTGACATCACCTTTTAGAAGGTTTACCTGTTTGATTCCAGGACCCAAATCGATTGCATTATGACCCTGCTGAACTCAAGCTCTTTGAAAACATTGAATGTGAATGGCCCGTGTTCTGGACATATTTTATAATAGACGGGGTCTTCAGTGGTGATGCCGTTCAGGTGAGACAATGCTGGGTTTTGTGTTGATAATCAGCATTTTCATTGCACTGGTATGCTGATTGTTATTAGAACATAAGGTTATGCAAAAAAATTTAAAGATTTTATTAATTTATTTTTAGAGAGAGGGGAAGGAAGGGAGAAAGTGAAGGAGAGAAACATCAGTGTGTGGTTGCCTCTCACGTGCCCCCTGCTAGGGACCTGGCCGGCAACCCGGACATGGGCTCTCCGACTGGGAATTGAATCAGTGACCCTTTAAGTTCACAGGCTAGCGCTCAGTCCACTGAGCCACACCAGCCAGGGAAAGATTATGCCAGAATTTAGGGCATCAGTTTAATGATCTGTTGCCACTTAACAAACTTTCCCAAAACTTAGTGAATTGAAATAATAACTATTTTATTTATTTGCTGGAGATTCTGCTATTCGTGCAGGGCTCAGCAGGGACAGGTTGTCCCTGCTTCACCTGGTGTCAGCTGGGTTCATTCAGTGGAGCTGGAGCATCTACTTCTGTGATGTCCTCACTTAAATGGCTGCAACTTGATGCTACCTGTTGACCGAGTGCTCGGCTGGGCTATTGGCTTGGACTTTGGTTCTCCACATGTCTAGTTTGCACTTCTCACAGCATTATGGCCTCTGGTGAGCTAGGCTTTTTCCATGGTGGTCGTCTTCCACTAGAAAGCAAAAGCAAAAGCCACCAACTTTTCTCAAGGCTTAGATCTGGATCTGGCAAAGTGTCACTTCTGTTGCATTCTTCCGTTTAAAGTGCCATCCCACAGTCAAGGGGAGGGGACTACACAAAGGCTTGAGCAGTAGGAGGCGGGTTCATCAGGGAGCACCAAACAGTCTACCACAGACAGATTTTGTTGCTGCTCCTGTTCTTTTCAGGTCAGCTGAAGGTTTTGCTGTATTGAGCTGTAGTTTATCAGCTGATGTCTTGTTTACTGTAACAGCCCCCTAACTGGCCTCCCTTCCTCCAGCCTCTCTCCCTGCTGTTTCTCCACACCTTGCCAAGGTGATCTTATGAAAAGGCAAGTCAGATTATCTATTGCCTTGCTTAAAAGCATTGAATGGCCCTGGCTGGTGTAGCTCAGTGGATTGAGCATGGGCCTGTGAAGCAAAGAGTTGCTGGTTCGATTCCCAGTCAGGGAATCTGCCTGGGTTGCGGGCCAGGTCCCCAGTAGGCGACACATGAGAGGCAACCACACATTGATGTCCCTCTCCCACTCTTTCTCCTTTCCTTCCCCTCTCTCTAAAAATAAATAAAATATTTTTTAAAAAGCATCGAATGGCTTCCTGTTTGCTTTTGAAATACAAGGTCTTCCTGTGTTTTGTAGAGTCCTATAAGATCTGACCCTCATTTTCCCTACTGTAGCCCAATTTCTTATAACTTCCTTCCTTTGTTAATTTCTGTGATCCAAGCACATGGAAACCCTTTTAATCTCTTCAACAGATCATGCTGTCTCTCCCTCTTCTCAAATGCCTGACTGCCCCTCCCTCCTCCACTTGATTCATTGTAAGTGCCTCTTCTTTCAGAAAGCTTTCTCTGACCCTGGAAGTCGGGTCAGGTACCCCTTTTCTATGCCCATCACTCTTATAACAGCATGGCACCTGTAACTGTATTTAATCTCCAACTTATCTGTCAAAGGACCCTGACAGAGGTAGTCTCTACTCGGTTTGCTAACATACGCCCTGTGCCTAGTACATGGTAAGTGCCCGGTAATTATTTGTTAATACAGAGTTCATATGTTCAGGACAGGTTCCTTCAGCATTTGCTGCCATGCGTACTTTGGTGAGCAGAACAGATCGGTCTTGGAAAGCTCATGTGAATGACTGATGAACTCAAACTTTTGCCACTTTTTTAACCTGCTCATATATGCCACTTCTTTTTTTAGCCTGTTTGAATCCCATGTTCTGGGGTGGGATAAGCAATCTAGGATTTATTTTAGTTCTCAAAAGCTGCCTCTGCTCAGGAATGCTGGGGCGGGGGGCACTGCAGCCAGCTTGAAATGTCAATATGTCCCCATTTGTTCATTCTTACTCTTATGGTGTAGTGATTATCTTGAGTCTTTCTACCCTATAACTGAAAGATCTCAAAAGGATTGAGTTGGAATTTCAGTTGTGAACAAGGTTGACAATGATCAAAAATAAACAAAAAACTAAGGAGACAAAAAAGACTGTGCTTAGTATCTTGTTTTCTAGGTCTCACGGAATTTACTACCCTTACGCCTACTGTCTCTTTCACTTGCTGCCCAATGACATTTAACAGAATAATGCATCCCTGGTCAGCCTTTGCCATCCATAAATTTCTAAAGAAAAGAAAATGAGATCTGGGAAGTGTTTGGGCTTTCCAAAGATTAAATGTGTTAAGTAGCTGGGTGACTGGGTAAGGGCTTTTTCCCCTTTTCTTCTTTTCCCTTTACATACTTAAGCTTTTTATCAGCACATTTTTAATTTCATGGAAATGTTTACATCAACAGCTTTCATTATATTGAGTAGTGTATCCTGAAAAGAGAGGGACATGGATCATAGTACATACAGTTTTTTCCTCACATCAGATTCATTCAGTAAATGTGTCTTGATGGATACATATTTGAATGAGGGCCTTTAAGTGGAGAACTGCCCATGAGTGGAAATGGGATGCACCACTTAAGATCTGGCCTCCACTCTAAGAAGCTTGTCGTCTAGCTGGTGAAACAAAATTTAAATGTGTGAGAAGTTGAGTGAAATATGTAACTCATGAGTTAAAGACAACACAGAAAAGACCAGTTGTGTTTAGCTTCTCCTAACACTTGCTGTCAACAAGATTCCCAGTTGCTCGTGCATTCCTGGAGCTGAAGGTATTTGGGCAGTTTCTTGGCTCTGTGTCCTACTTCTAATCTGTTGCCAAGAGAGCTGTTTTTCTGTGTTGCACTGCCATTATAGCAGTGAAGACCCCCCTCTTTCAAACTGTGGGTGATGGGGCTATTTTCCAGGTCCAAGAATACCGAGAGGCCCTGGAGGGAATATTAATCAGGGGCAAGAATGGGATCCACCTGGTGCCAGAACTCTACGCCATCCCACCTAACAAGGTAACCAGGCACTGCTTGTTGAGAACAAAGCAAATTGGTGCTTGGTCTTTTCTTACTTTCCACCCCCCTTCCACACCTAATACTTCTTCTCCAGGAGAAGTGGTTTTTAAAGCCTTTGGTAGTGTCCCTAGGTGTCACAGGAGTTCCAGCTTTGGAGCCATGCTTGAGAAGGGGTGCCCAAGTGAGGCGTCAGTTGAAGACCTTCAGAGGTGACCTGTCCTTCACCTGAGCCCAAGGCCACATGAGCCCTAAAATGCACAGAACACTGTTGGGCACCATGCTCTCACATGTATCCACAGAAGAGTGGAGATACTTGAGAATCTCTTCCTTTGAGTCAAGCCATTCCAGAACTAGAGCTCAAGTAATCAGACATTCTTTATCAGGGAGAGAAATTTGCCAGTTCTAAGATGCCTACAGGCAGTTTCGTTCTATCCAGTTTCCTAAATTGGGCCATGATGGACTGATATACCTTCGTGGAAATATTTCCCTCTACGTATCTCATATTTAGAAGAAAAGAATTCTTAATTCAAGGCTGGTTGTCTTTCAGATGTTCCCGTTGCTCCAAAGCTTCATTATTGCATTTGCAGGAGGAGTAAAGACCAGCATCTTCTCCCTAACTTAGAGGGCCTGCAGGGGATCACAACCCAGTGGAAGCTGTCGTGCCACAACTTGGGTTAGGGGTTCTGTGGTTGAATCTGGCCCACAAGCACATGGTCAGGGCAATGGTGGGGACTCTAAAATTGTGTGCCCCCACCCAGAGAGGCTGTGGAACCTGTTAGGGCTCAGACACCAGTGAGCTCTCCCTGGAACCAGACCCCCAGGGCAGAGCCTCCCCACAGCCCTGCACTGCCTACTTATGGGTGGTACATTTCCAGGTGGGAGAGAGCCCTCACTGTAAAGATTAGGCCGTGAAGCCCACAAGGGCTCTTTTCTCTCTGAGTGTCCAATACCTAGATGTCCTGCCAATGTATTCATTTTACTATGAGTGATACGTGTGTTGCTGGGGAGAGGCTGGACGTGGGGTCTGGGTAGTTTATATTTCAGCAACTACATGTTCAGGGTGCCCCCTTTTCAGCATTGAGGCATTTGGCAGAACAAAATTAGTAATGGGACTTCATTTGGAATTTGGAAGCAGAACAAAGGGGAAATCAATGATCTCAGGGGTATTTTACCTGTTTTGTGATAGAAAATAACCATCCATCTGTGTTCTGCTAAAAAGTACATTTTCCTGACTGTAGTAAATGCTGGCTGTTATAAGCTATACTTTTCTTTCTCATGAACAGTGTTGGCTATACATCGTAAAAAGTTGCTCTACAACTTTCTGTCTTCTAAACTCCACTCTGACCTTTGGGTTTCTACTTGGCATGACAACACCCTTTATCCAGTGCATTTTACACATAAACAAGGCACTGGTTTTGAACACTATTTTACCTTGACCACGTTTTGTATTGGCTGCTTCCAGAGGACAGCTGGGAAGGTTCACCCATGACATCAATGACATGTAAAAACCACTGCACATAGGGGGCCACCCAGGCCCATATGCCACTTTGTGCAAATAAGAAAAAGGACCTCATCCTTGGAGTGGCTGCAGCCCCAGGCCAATGTGGCATCCAGCCTGGATTTCAGCCTCAGTCATTTCTTCAGCCAGATGTGCTTGTGCAAAAGGTACCACCATCCATGGGGCCTGCCATTGGATAGCTTGAGACTGATACAGGTGTGCCCAGCAGATGTGCACCAAGCAGCTGCTCTAGACCAGGCACCAGGCTAGGTCCAGTAGCACAGAAGGGTTACAGTGCCAACTCTACCTCTGCAAGCTTGCAGACCACTGGGCGTCGGAGAAGTTAGTTGGAGGATGGAGGACAGACACAGTATTGGAGGTGGCAAAGTCCTGGTGTGGTGGAGGACCTGCAACACATTAGAAGGACTGGGGGGGGGGGGGAGGCCTGTGGGTGGCAGGACGGCAGAGCCAGGCTGTCTTGTGACCCAGACACTTTGTCTGCCTTATGTCCTCATTTCTAGATCTTTGCAGCCTTTCTGAACACTACTTACATTTCAATAGCTTTAACATACAATCTGATGGTAAAAGTAATTGTGCACACTCCAGAACATCCAGGACTCTGTTGAAAGAAGTAAATATCTATCTTTAATCTTACTACCCAAAGATAACCACTCGGACATTTTGGAGACTCTCCTTCCACACTGTTATCCTGTTTGATTATTTGATTACTGGTGATGTTTAATCCTGTTTAGATTACAAGCTTAAGGGTTTCTTAATGTTTACTACTACAGCAAATTTTTAAAATTTGACTAAATTTATTATAATAACCCACAAAGAGGGAACGACTGTCTTTGTGGTATAATTTTCCCCTTTGGAGAAGGATAAGTCTTTCCCATTTCCTTTCATTTAATTGCCTGATGTTTTTTTCTGAGAAAAATGTGCTCACTGACATTACCCTCAACCAATGTTGTAATGACTAAAAACCCAAAGGTCAGCATGGCGTTTATAGCAGAGGAAGTTGTAGACTAACTTCTACAATGTGTAGTCAGCACTGTCCATCAGAACAAAAACTGGAGCTTATTTTAATTAGTCAGAAGCCCCTAATTAATTCAGCTTTTTGAGTCTCTGGTGGAAAATTCATGATCTAATATAATAGTACAGTTGTTTTTTTTCTCAATCAATAGTGCCACCTTCTGGTAATTTTCTTGTGTAACACAGAGTTTATGAACCCCTGGAGATAGCAAGATAGAAGTCTGACTTAGCGCTGCCATGGGAAGGCTGATGTTTTAGATCGCTTCACCTATAATGTAAGCATGAGCCGTGCAACTTCGTGTTGCCTACAGCTGTGCTCAGGGAAGGCAGGCCAGGCTTCCAGGGCCTCTCTCTCTGCCTTTTGCCATCAGTGTGTTTGTGGGCAGAGTACCTGCCTGGAACCAGGCCTAGATTTGAATTCCGCCTCTGCTGCTTTTGTGTATGACCCCCACTCCACCGCCCAGGTAAGGGTTTAGCCTCCTCAGCCTCCCAGTTCCAGCTCTCACCCAGAATTGGCCTGGAGGAGTGAATGAGGAGCACTTTGTAAATTGTCAGTGTGCTCCCCAATGTCGGTAACATTGGCTTTTTTATACTCTGACATTCTGACTTTAGGATTTTCTCTCTTTGCCAGGTAGACGAAGAATATAAGAACCCTCACACGGTAGACAGAGTTCCTCTGGGGAAGCTGCCCCATCTGTGGGGTCAGTCCTTGTACATTCTCAGCTCGCTGTTGGCAGAGGTACGGGACTTGGGGGATGGGAAACCGGAAGAACACGGGGGCTCTCTGCCCAGTGTGGCTGTGAATGTCTTTGGCATCTTCATGGCTTTAAAGTCAGATGCTCTGGAAGTATTAGTTACCATTGTTCTTTTGACTCACACAAGATGGTGGCACATTTGACTAGCCCTGGAGAGCTAGGTGCCAAAAACAATATATTTATTGGTGGTTATCTAAATGATTTACTCTGTTTCAGAGAAAAAAATAAGCAATTGACTTGAAATACCTAAAGGAATAAATACTGAATATTTTGAGCCCCCAAATATTTCACTTTCAAATTTATGTGAAATTTTAGTTAATCAGTATTTCACAGTGTTAATGCTTCTTTTTTCCCAGGGATTCCTTGCTGCTGGTGAAATTGACCCCTTAAATAGAAGATTTTCCACTTCTGTCAAACCTGATGTTGTAGTACAAGGTTTGTGAGTATGTTTACTATTCCTGTTTAACTTTCTAAAACCCATGTATTTTTTGCTCCAGTTTTTTAATTGAATTTATCGGGGTGATCTTGGTTAATAAAATTATAGGTTTCAGGTATACACTTCTATAACACATCATCTGTGTATTGTATTGTGTGTTCACCACCCTGAGTCAAGTCTCCTTCCATCACATTTATTCCCCGTTTCTATCCTCCTCTACCTCCCCCACCCGCTTCCCCTCTGGTAATCATTGTTGTCTGTGTCTGTGAGTTTTGGGTTTTTTTTTTTTTTTTGCTTAACCCCTTCACCTTTGTCACCCAGCCCCCAACTCTCTCCTCTCTGCCAGCTGCCAGCCTCTGTATTTATGAGTCTGTTTCTATTTTGTTCATTCGTTTATTTTGTTCATTAGATTCCACTCATAAGTGAGATCATATGGTATTTGTCTTTTACCACCTGCCTTATTTCACTTAGCGTAATGCCTCCAGGTCCATCCATGCTGTCACAAAAGGTAAGGTTTCCTTCTTTTTTGTGGCCAAGTAGTATTCCACTGTGCAAATGTACCACAGCTTTTGTTATCCACTCATCTACTGATGGGCACTTGGGCTGCTTCCAAATGTTGGCTATTGTAAATAACACTGTAGTGAACATAGGAGCGCATATATTGTTTTGAATCAGTGTTTTGGGTTTCGTCGGGTATATTCCCATGGAACTGTCTTATGACCCAGTGATTCTACTTCTGAGAAAACTCATGTATTTTTAATGCAAATTGTTCCCTAGTTTCCTCTTTTATTTTTAAAAAGTGTGTAAGTGTATATGTTTTAGCGTATATTAATATGTAACATGGTAGCACAACATATTACTCACGTTTGTGGTGATGCAGGTGGCATGTGCTATCATGGGAGCTATGTCCTTTGGGAGCAGGGACACCAGTTTCCTCAGGTTCCCTCATGTGGAGTTGTTTCCATTCTTGACACCATATGAAAAGAACAGAAGACAGGTTTAGAGTAAGTGCAGACCCAGGGAAAGGCAAGACATCATTTGAGATGGGATGATTTGACTTGAGATCTGTTGAAGACCATTTCTAGAAGTCTATCAGACTGTTTTTCACATTGTGTGTACTTCATAAATACGCATCGTGGGTGTTGAGGTGGGGAGACAATGTCAGAGAGGACCAAGAAGAGCAGCAGTACAAGTGCTGTCATTTTCAAAGCCACCTAGTGTGAGGAGAGCATGCTAATGTGTGTATCACAGGCCAAGGAAGAAGTCAGGCCATGATGCATGTATCCACATGAAGACACAAGGGCCACAAAGTAATGCGCATTATATGCTCTTCTTCTTCGCAGTTACTGTTCTGGCAGAAAATGACCACATTAAGGACTTGCTGAGGAAGCATGGGATAGATGTCCAGAGTATTGCTGACATTCACCCCATCCGAGTCCAACCAGGCCGGATCCTCAGTCACATATATGCCAAGCTTGGTAGGTTTGGGGAAATACGGCATTTTTGGCCAAGAGGCACCTTGTTCTGGATTTTGGATCTGGGGCAGACGATGATATGCATAAATTCTAAAGAACTGGGCAAAGCACTAAAACCAGTGGTTTGACCACTTCTATGTGAAGAGGAATGGGGCAAACAAGCATGCTCTCCTCATGCTGGTTCAGTAGATGTCATCACAGGTTAGCCACGAGATTTGCCACATCTGTTGTACGGTCTGCAGCCAGCTTTGAAAATTCACTATTGGAACAGTCATTTGTGCCTTGATAATGTTTCTAATTTTCATCTGTAGTCTCAGAAAGTGCTCATTTACCCATTAAGATAAGAGGGGGTAGCCCTGACCAGCATGGCTCAGTTGGTTGGTTGTCAGATATTGTCCCACAAAGTGAAAGGTGGCCAGTTTGATTCCCAGTCAGGGCACATGTCTGGGTTGCAGGTCTGGTTCCCAGATGGGACCTGTACCAGATCCATGTTTCCCTTTGCACATCAATGTTTTTCTCCCTTTCTTTCTTCTTCCCTTCCCTTCTCTCTAAAAATAAACAAAGTATTTTAAAAATAAAATAAGAGGGACTTTTCTTTACTTTGCCTAAAATGTGACATTTTTTGTTTAGTGAATTAAATGTAAACACTAATAAAGTCCTTTTTTAAAAGATTTTATTTATTTTTTTATTTATCTTTAGAGGGGAAGGGAAGAAGAGAGGGAGAGAAATATCAATGTATGATTGCCTCTCATGCATTCCATGTTAAGAACTGGCCTGTAACCCAGGCATGTGCCCTCAATGGGAATCGAACCACAATCCTCTGGTTCGCAGGCCTTCGCTCAATCCACTGAGCTACACCAGCCAGGGCTAATAAAGTCCTTTTAATAGTTTTATTCCAGATAAGTTGAAGCAGGTGCTGTTCATATACATACATGAAAAGGAGGGAGGGTTTGTTTTTAATTTATCTTTGTCCCATTTAAAGAAAGACAGTGGTGTTAGAAAAAACAAACCCTATAGTGGGTTGTTTAACATAAAAATAAGTTCAGCCTTAGCTGAAGTCAGTTGGACTAGATGTTACTGTGTTGACTCTAACACCAAATTCTTTTTTTTTTCAAATAGGACGAAATAAAAATATGAAATTGAGTGGGCGACCGTATCGGCCCATTGGTGTCCTTGGAACATCTAAACTATATGTGATTAGGGACCAGATATTTACTTTTACGCCTCAGGTGAGAAGAGCAGACCAGTAGCAAACCAACAAGCATCTTTCCACTAAGCTCTCTTTTCTGCCCGGTGAGCCACTTTGAATGTGGCAGAATGTGCATCCATGTGCTCAAATAGAGATGTATAAGATGACACCCATTACCTAGTACAATTCTTTACTCATAGAAGGTGCTCAGTTAATGTGGCTTGAATCGAATTGAGTGTGTTATCACTTCCAGTCATGAGTAGCAGTGAAATTCCCATTGCCTTGCAAAATTGCTAGTAACATGTCACTTGAGCCACAGTCCTTGTGCCCCTAAACACGAGTCCCTCACCCTTGCTTAAGTTCTCATTGGACCCTCTGTGTAATACATAGCCAGTCTGATTTTCAGGCCCTAACCCTCTTGATGGGATCCTGAATATACTGATTATGGAACGTTCCTGCAGAGTTTCTGTTTCCATAGGAAACTAGTTCTGTGGAACTCAAACCAAACATTTTCCAGCCATTTGGGCAGCTAGAAAGACCAACTATGGTATCACTTTGTCAACGTGGAACATAGCCCCGCCCCCCACTACCTAGGCACACAGTCAGTCAGGGGTCAGTAGCCCCAAGTTGCTTTTTTTGACCCTAACCCACACTGCTCACTTAAATCTTGTGAGCTATTCCTTTCATAATAAATTTTAGACCGGAGCATGGACTGAGCATGAACTAGTCTAGGGGCCAGAAGAACAATTTGCTTTTCATCAATATCAGGCTGCAGTGCCCTTAGTTCACGTTAACCAGGCCATTGATCAGGTAAACACAGTCTCCACATCTCACCTGCTCTCAGTGCCCTCACTTGGAAAGCATCTCTGAGCCCGGCAGCCCTGGAGGCGTAGGAATTAAGGAGCTATTGATTTCCTTTCGGAGACAGCAGCATTGAGCCAGGTGCTTAAATCCTCATCTGAGGAGCTGTAAATAGATCTAGCCAGGCACCTTTCCCTTCCATGGCTCCTGGGCAGGTGACAGATCCATTTATCTTATCGCCAGGAGAGCCCTGTGATGGGTAGATTATGGCCAGGACTGAGCTTCTTCTCTGGAAACAGAGCACAAGGATTAGTGCTGCCGTAAATGACAGGGAGTTATGTCCAGGGAAATGAAGGACAGCCTCTTACTTGGCCTTTTCTGACTTGCAGTTCACTGACCAGCATCACTTCTACCTGGCCCTGGACAACGAGATGATCGTGGAGATGCTGAAGATTGAGCTGGCCTACCTGTGCACCTGCTGGCGGATGACAGGCAGACCCACGCTCACCTTCCCCATCACCCACACCATGCTCAGTAACTCCATGGACTTGATTTGCCTGATCCATATCCCACTGTTGCTTTGGGCCCTTCTTACAATGTTTAAAACAGTTCCCATGGGCAGAGCTCAGTATTGAAGGGGTTTCTCAGCAGTTCAGTTTCATAGCTCTGGACTCTTCTATGACATATGTATTTTAATTAGGTTATGTTGATGAAAACAACCTAATTAAATTTTTCCAGTTAAAACAACCTAATTTCAGTGCATGTCCCTTCTCCCCACCAAAAAAAAAAGTATCCCTAGATTAAGTAAACTAATGCATCTTTTTTCCCCCTTAGCCAATGATGGCTCAGACATTCATCCTGCAATTCTTTCTACAATTAGAAAACTAGAGGATGGATATTTTGGAGGAGCTAGGTAATTTATGACTTTTTTAAATGATCAAAGTAACTTTGATGTTTCTTAAAGTATTTTGCTGCCCTTCTCCCATTTTTCATATCCATTGCTGAGCATAGAAGCCTGGTACTTCAGAGTAAGAAGGAAGTTAAAACTTACTTAATCCGGTGAAACTGGAATCATCTCTAAAGCAGCATTCAGTGGGCGAGTGTAAAGCTTTTGCAGGTGCCAGGAGGCCTAGGGCATAAAGAGGTAAACATATCAGTTTCTCTGAAGTGGCATTCCTGGAATGCATGTATGGGATGGTAAGTCTGTCTTTAGTAAAAGGCATGAAAGAAAACACCCCGTGCCTTAACATCTAGCAGGTGCTCCATAAATGCTCCTTGAATTGACTTGAATGTGCTATCACCTTAAGAATAATTCACAGAACTTTATAAATTTCTTAGTGGCCCTCAGAGCAGAGCACCTGATGGGCCTGCCTAGACTATTGTCCCCTCATTCTCAGTGGACTGATCCCCATTTCTTTGCAGGCCTACGGTATGAGATGCATTCCCAGGTATCATGGTTAAGCATCTTGAGTGATAGAGGGTTCACCTCTCAGGACAACTTGTCCTGGTTTTGTACCCTGTAACTGTCACAAGGCAGAGGTTTTCTCTGTAGCTTCCATGTCCCGGATCTCTCTGAACTCCCTGGGATATGCCAGGAGGGCCCAGGAGAGCCTCACTGTGAAGCTTAGCCACTAGTGAGCTCTGGCCTTTCCTGGGCCCAGGGAGGCTTCCATTTGGTCCCTGATGGAATGTCAGTTGCTCAAAGTGTTTGGGCCTTGAACTCAGCCCTTCTTCTCACATCTTCCCACACTAGGGACTCTGCTGCCACAGTGCTTTTTAAAAAATTGTGATAAAATGCACATAACATAAAATTTACTAACAATTTTTAAAGTATACAGTTCAGTGATGTTAAGGACATTCACATTATTGTGCTAACACTGTTTCCATCTTGCAAAACTGAAACTCCGTGCTCCTGAAACAGCTCTCCATTTCCCCCTGTCCTCAGTGCCTGAGAAACACCATTCTGCTTTCGGTCTCTAGGTATCTCATCTAAGTGGACTCATCCAGTATTTTCTTTCTGTGACTGGCTCATTTCACGTAGCCAGATGTCTTTGGGGCTGAGCCACTGTAATCTAAGTGCTAAGGTTGGCACTCAGCTCACAGAGTTCACTGTGAGTTCTGCTGTGGACTTGAAGTGACCCTGGCTTCGAGCTTCTGGCCTGTCAGTCTGGAGTGTCAGTGAGACTGTCCCCAGCACTTTTCCATCTACGTTTCCAGCATTAGTGCCATATCTGCAGTTGGCACCCACATTCATATTTTACCTCCAGTTTGGATAGGTTACCACCCCATGTACAGCATCATATTTGAGAGGAAATCCCACACACTCATGATTAACTGTTTTTTCCGAATAAACTCTTTAATTGAAATGTAATCGTTGTCCAAAGGATGCTGCCATTAATTGAGCACTTGCGGTGTGTTCTTTGTGGCTTTGTATGCATTGTCACATTTAGTCTTCACTTTGTCATGTGGGCTGTATTCCCACTTTATGGAGAAGGAGCTGTTGCCTCAAGAGCCAAGGCACAAGACAAATAGGTGCAGAAGCTGTGTGAATCCAGAAACCAGGCTCTAACCCCATGTGGAGCTGGCTGGGGGCTTACAGGAATCAGGAGGGCCTCCCGTTTATAGAGTATGGCAGTGATTCAGAGAACCAGGGAATGAAATATGAATGCCTAGGCTCCACTGGCTGCCTTTCCTACTACTAAGTTCTTCATAGTTACGATGGAATCTCATTTTGCCTTTTCCTTTATGTCTGAGGATCTTTAAAAAGCTAAACTCTAGATGGCGATCTCTACCGCTTGGACCCAACTGGAGCAGCTTGCTATCAAACTGCTGCCTTTGGCCTTTGACCTGACTCCTTTCAACTTCATCAGAGGGAAACTTTCCCTTGTCTCCTTTCCTAGCTCCACCTTACCCCGCCCCTGTCCCTGCCCTCGGCAAAAACCTTGCTAGACCCTACTGCAGGGTCCTAGGAGGGGAAAGTTAGGAAAGGAAGGCTTTTCTCACCCTCAGGCCACGTTTATGATGTAGTGCATTTGCCTATTGAAGCTCAAGCACCTGTGAATTCATTTGTATCCTCCGCTCTAATTTACCCCTTAAACGGTTCCCTCAGCCTTTTCAACAAAGTCATTATCTGATGCGTGTAGCTCCCAGGCATCTTACGGTTTTCTCTCCCGATCTAACATTTTAAAAAGCTCACAGATCAGGCTTTCTTTCTGTATGGTGGACATGCCGCTACTCCCCGAACCTGGGGGTAGACCTGCAGATCTCAGACGCTGCTGCCTTTGCAGTGGGACCCCACACTGCCAAACGTAGTTCCCAGTTTTCGGTGGAAGTTTTTCTTACCTGGTGATATACTAGGGCTACTCCGAGCATCTGCTCTGGTCTGGGGACGGCCTACCCATCACTTACCTTCTAGACAGAACTTGAGTCTAAGACATGCCCACCTGCGCCTGTGTGACCCTGCTGCATGGTAGGGACTCAAATGATGGCACAAGTGCACCCAGAGAATTATTGCTTATAGTTTTGTTCTGGTCCAGTCATTTTAGGGCAAAAACCTTCTAAAGCAGGCGTGTCAAACTCATTTTCACTGGAGGCCACATCAGCCTCGAGGTTGCCTTCAAAGGGCCAAAATAACGTTAGGCCTGTACAAATGTAACTACTCCTTAACTGTTACGGAGTTGAAATTACATTTGGCTTTGAAGGCAACCGCGAGGCTGATATGGCCCTGGAAAAAATGAGTTTGACACCCCTTCCCTAAAGGATGGTTCTGGTTAGAAGTGGTTTGCCAACATGTTTTGTAAAACTTTGGTTGGTTCAGTAAAGTAAATTTCTATTTGTGTTGGGTTAGGGAATTAGAAATTAGCATGATTCATTTTGGCTGTTAATATGCTGTGTGCTTCCACTTAATACTTGCTATTGAATTTTCATTTGAATTTCTTGGCCGACTACTGCAGAGTGACGTATTTATTGAGACTGGCAGAAGTGCCACCTGGTTGTTGAAAAGTCTTTCCATGATTTCATTAGTGGAAGTTTGTCCACATGCAGCTGTATCTCTAATACAGTGTCTCCTTGGCAGAGTAAAATTCGGGAGCCTTGCGGAATTTCTCACCACGTCTTTCTACACGTATCTCACCTTCCTGGATCCAGACTATGATGAGAAATTATTTGATGATGATGCCAGCGAAGGGAGGTTCAGTCCTAATAGCGATTCAGATTTGGGAGGCTATTTGGAAGACACCTACAATGAAGGTATAGCTAGGCATGCCTTAGCAGGCAGTTCATTGAATAAATTCAACCCTTAGCATTGTGGTAAAATTGCACTGACACACAAGCACCAAAAATGACTCGTAGTTAACATATAAGAGGCTTTGGAAACTTGCAGGCATTACAATGAATAAAGTGCCACTTAAAAATCTAGACTGAAAAAGTGGGGCTTTTTTAAACCTAGAGGGACAAAGAGTTTCAGGAATGAGGGCTTTTCACAAAATATATTCTGAAGACGGAAACACTGGGCTTGAATTTTCAGAAGAATGGTAGAATTATCTAGGTTTGGCCGGGATAGGGTTTCGCTGAAATCCTGTGTATATAACGTTTCTCAGACTGAATAGGATTTGGGGTTGAATGATCTGATTTTTTCTTTTGGCTAGTACTTGGGCTGCAAGCTGGAGGTCCCATAATGCTTAGCTCACTCATGACAAATTAAAACAAAAAGATCATATGTCAGCTGCTGGCCCTCAGGTTCTCTTAACAGATTCAATTCATGTTCGGATGCTGTGCTATAGGCACTACCTCGACCTGCACTTTCTTTTCCTAGGATGAAGTTTTTCCAAACAGTAACTTTAGAAACACATACATTATTTATGTAAATCTCTTTGTTCTGCCAGGGCGGGTGGGGGTGCACGTATCCATATCAAAATATTGTCTTCCACTAAATTTACTCAATGCTGCATGCTACACAAAATCACTGTTATGCCTTTCAAATATTTCTACAGTTTGTTTTCATTGGCTCTTTTGCTTGCCTGTTCAATTACAGAAAATCAGGATGAACTTGACCAGTATATCAACCACCTCCTACAAAGCACATCCTTGAAGTCCTATCTGCCCCCTCTTCGTAAGAAGACTTCAGAAGACAGCCATGTCTTCAGTGCCATCCACTCCACTCGGGATATACTTTCTGTGATGGCAAAAGCAAAGGGTTTGGAAAGTCCATGTATGTTATTAACTCTTTTCTGCCTGTTAAAATAACTTGTTTAAAATGTAAGTAATGCTTGAGCATAATTTAGAAGTCAAAGAATCTAAAAAGACAAAATGCAGGTGTTTCCTGCCTCAACCCTCCCCACCTCACTGCCCCCAGTCCTTCTTAGAGGCAACCACTTTCAACTGTTAATTGTTTCTTCTGGCTTTCACATATCTCTGTATTTCTAAAATTATTCGAAAACAATATGTGTATACTGCAGACTTTTGCTGCATTGACTTTATTCAGTATCTATGACTTTTTCTTTTGAGGTGAAGATTTAGGTGTCTTAAATCACCACTCGTCTGTCTCACTTCCCCTAACCTGCCAATGTAAGTTGTATTAAAGCTTAGTTAAATCAGTACTCACTCTAACACTGACTGGTATAGCTCAGCGGGTTGGGCATTGTCCTGCAAACCAAAAGATCTCTGGTTTGCTTCCTAGTCAGGACACATGCCTGGGTTGCAGGCCAGGTCCCTGGTGGGGGGTGTGTGAGAGGCAGCAATGTTTCTCTCGAATGTGCATATTTCTCTTTTCCTCTCTTTCTCCCTCCTTTCCTTCTCTATAAAAATAAATTAAAAAACAGCACTCACTCTTCATATTATTGTGTGTATGCAAATATTATTTTTACTTTTTTCCTAAAGCTAATACTTGCCCTCTCTTTTAATCTGCCTTGCTTCATTTTTACACCTTCCAATGGCCTCTCAGTACAAATTTCCACCAGGTCAACCATATCCAGGAATTTATCAGTTTCACAACTTTTCTTAGAATCCACACGTCTCCTTCTGTCTGGCTGATTGGGCTCTAGGCCTGTTGCATGCCTGGGACTTCTCTTTACCATAATCCTTGGCATCTCCTTTGCTTATCCCTTCAGCTGGGTTCCCTGGTTCTCGAATTTGGCATGTTCCCCTTTCTCAATTTATTCCTTTGGTGAAGCACATTCTAGAATAGTTTCAGTAGGTTAAGAAAATAATACAATGTAAGAGGGTATGGAGATGACAACCCTCAACTTGTTTGTTTCTGAAGTTCACTGCCCCTTTGGCCTGGTTGCCCTCCATGTCCAGAAAATGGATTTTATCTTGGGATCTCCCTTCACCTTCATCCTGGAGAGTTCTTTGAAGTGTCCTTGTCCCTTGTGTTGGCGCTGGCTCTCCTCTTTTCTGTCTCAACTTTCCCTTTCTTAGCTTACTCTCTTATTTTGGTGGGGGACACCCAGTAGTTTCCTGAGAAACAGTGCATGGTGAGTGAAATTGTTGAGACTTTGCAAGTCTGAAAATATCTACAAATATTCTGTGTCCATTTGAGAGTTTGGCTGAGTACAGAATTCTAGATTGAAAAGAAATTTTTCTTCAGGATTTTGAAAACATCGTTTGATTGTCTTCTTATATAAGTGTTCCAAGAAGCCTAAATCCATTATGAGTTTTCAATCCTTCAAACTGTAAACTGTTTTTCTCTTTGAAAATTTTTAGGATCTTCTCTACTCCCAGATTCTGAAATGTCAGTGATGTGCCTTGATCCAGGTGTATTTTCCTCCATGGTGTTGGGTACTCACTGGGCCTTTTTAATGCAGAAATTTACATAGGCCTGTAAAGTTTTTCTGAATAATTTCCTTACTCATTTCTTTCTCTACCTTTTCTCTGTTTTCTTTCTGGTCCTCTATGACTGCACTGTTGACCTCCCAGAGAAGTGTTTATTGTTTCTCATCTGTCTTCAATTTCTTTGTCTTTTGCTCTGTTTTAAGGGCAATGGCTTCAACTTTTTGTTCCACCCCCTCAATTTAGTTTTCTTGCTTTTTTGCTATCATGTTTTAAATCTTTGTTTCCTGACTTACATTCGTTTTTGTTTTATGCATACAATATAATTACTTGTCACTTTAAGAATGTTAATAGCAGGGTTTTATTTATTTATTTCTTTACATTTTCTTCTCCCTAAATGGTTTCCATTTTCCCCCAAGTCAATTTTCCAGTTTGTTTTTGTTTCTATCTTCCACATTAGAGTCTTTCCTTCAATGCAGGGTGTTTCTTGGTTATCTGCTCATGCATCAGAATCTCAAAGCACATAGGTGGGGCCTGCTGGGTAAATGGATGTAAACTGAGCAGATTTCCAAGAGCTACTCTTGTCTCCTCTTTGATAGGTAAGGGTCTGGTCCTTGTTCCCCCCTAAGGAATATACCCAGGCCTTGAGACATGCTGGTCAGCCCTCACTCCTGAGATCCTCCCTTTTGCCCTCCTCAAAAACACCTTCTATTCTCTGTCAGGGGAGCAAGGCAGTTGCCAGGCTATGTGGAGCTGAGGAAGGAATCTAGGAAGCTCACTGCTTCTCACAGAGCAATTCCCCAGTCTTCCTTACTCTGGACCACCTCCCTGAACCTCCCCAATTCCGGAGGTACTACATAGTATAGCAGGCTCTTGAGACTTCTGAGGATTCTCTTGATGTAAATCTAACTGGTTCTTGGTTTTCCCCACTGCAGACTTGGGGTTTGGTTGCCTTGTGCTGGCTAAATCAGTTATCTTTAATCCATAGCTTTCTCAGTTCTAAAATGTTGTTACTATTACCTTCTCTCCTGTTTTCCCCTATTCCCGAGGATTTGCATTTTCGAAAACATTTTTTCTGTAGTGTTAGTCAGGTTTAAGAGGAAGTAAAATTACAATGTATGTTTAATTCATTAGTGTAACCTGGAGGTCTATAAATGTCTTAAATATGCCTTATCTGTACCTTGAAAACCTACTTTTTCCCAAGATGATATGATATAGCCTAGAAGCCCCAGATGGCTTAATGGATAAATATTGATAATAATATCAAGGAACTTCCTGGTCAACGTGGAGATGTAGGTAGACACACTGTGCCTTTTTGCACAACCAAAAGAAGGACAACAACAACAAATTTAAAAACAAAAACCAACACCAACCAGAACTGACAGAAAAATCAAACTGTATGGAAGTCTGACAACCAAGGAGTTAAAGAAACATTCATCCAAACTGGTAGGAGGGGCAGAGACACGCATCTGGGCGGAGAGGACTCACAGCAAGGCAGCAGCTGGAGGACCCAGCAAGGAGGCAGCTGGCAGGCAGGGCGGTCCCACATCCACATGCAGATAAACTGGAAGGAACAACTGGGGAGTGAGTCAGACCTTGAAACCCAGAGTTCCAGCACAGGGAAATAAAGCCTCAAACCTCTGATTGAAAACACCTGTGGGGGTTGAGGCAGCATTGGGAGAAACTCCCAGCCTCACAGGAGGGTTCATTGGAGAGATCCACAGGATCCTAGAACACACACAAACACACCCACCTGGGAATCAGCACCAGAAGGGCCAATTTGCTTGTGGGTAGCAGGGGAAGTGACTGAAAACCAGGAGGGGGCAGAGCAAGCAGCATTGTTCCCTCTCAGACCCCTCCCCCACATAGAGCTTCACAACGCAGCAATGTCGGTTGCCCCTCCCTGATGAACACCTAAGGGTCCACCCCTTACTATGTAACAGGTGGGCTGAGACAAAAAAAATGGCCCAAATGAAAGAACAGATCAAAGCTCCAGAAAAAAATACAACTAAGCGACAAGGAAATAGCCAACCTATCAGATGCACAGTTCAAAACTCTTGTAATCAGGATGCTCACAGAATTGGTTGAATATGGTCACAAATTAGAGGAAAAAATGAAAGCTATGCTAAGTGAAATAAAGGAAAATGTACAGGGAATCAATAGTGATGGGAAGGAAACTGGGACTCAAATCAATGGTGTGGACCAGAAGGAAGAAAGAAACATTTGACAAGAACAGAATGAAGAAACAAGAATTTTAAAAAATGAGAGGCTTGGAAACTTCTGGGACATCTTGAAATGTTCCCACATCCGAATCATAGGGGTACCAGAAGTAGAAGAGGAAGAACAAGAAACTGAAACCTTATTTGAATGAATAATGAAGGAGAACTTCCCCAATCTGGCAAAGGAAATAGACTTCCAGGAAATCCAGGAAGCTCAGAGAGTCCCAAAGAAGTTGGACCCAAGGAGAAACACACCAAGGCACATCATAATTACATTAACCAAGATTAAAATGAAGGAGAGAATTCTAGAAGCAGCAAGAGATAAGGGGACAGTCACCTACAGAGGAGTGCCCATAAGACTGTCAGCTGACTTCTCCAAAGAAACCTTGCAGGCAAGAAGGGGCTGGAGAGAAGTATTCGAAGTCATAAAAGGCACGGACCTCCATCCAAGATGACTCTACCCAGCAAAGCTTTCATTTAGAATGGAAGGGCACATAAAGTGCTTACCAGATAAGGTCACATTAAAGGAGTTCATCATCACCAAGCACTTATTATATGAAATGCTAAATGGACTTATCTAAGCAAAAGAATTAGGATAAAAAATATGAACAGTAAAATGATAACAAAGTCACAGTTCTTAACGACCAAACCTAAAACAAAAACTAAAACTAAAACTAAGCAAACAACTAGAACAGGAGCAGAATCACAGAAATGGAGATCACATGGAGGGCTATCAGCGAGGGAGTGAGGGTGGAAGGTACAGGGAATAAGAAGCATAAATGGTAGATGCAAAATAGACTAGGGGAGGTTAAGAATAGTATGGGAAATGGAGAAGCCAAAGAATGTATATGTATGGCCCATGGACATGAACTAAAAGGGTGGTATGCAGTGGGGGGGAGTATGCAGGTGGGAGGGGGTGTGCAGGGCAGAGGGGAATAAAGGGGGGAAGTGGGACAACTGTAATAGCATAATCAATAAAATATATTTTAAAAAAACATTAAAATGTGGCTAAAAAACAGAAGCCTGATGTCTGGCAGTAGCAAAGTGAAATGCGTACTGGACAGGAAGCCCAGTCACCTTGATTTTGAGAAGGCCAATGACTGGGAAAATGATCCACCATCCATGATTCTCAGTTTCCTCATCTGAAAGAAAAAAAAAGGTTGGGCTCAATCATTTCTGAGGCTCACTCCAGTCCGAAGATGCTATGTAATTTTCCTCTGAATTTCAGGAAGGAAAAATCAAATTTTACTCCCTAAAGCAAGATCCGTGTCCTGCTCATGTGCTTGCAGCACAATATGTGGCTATGTGATAAATTAAATTGTGATTAATTAAACTCAATAAGTAATCATTCCTTTAGTTGGTTTGTATCAAATAAGGAGTAACCACTGTACCTCTTAAAAGATACATTTTATCCTTCCTGCTCCTCAAAAGAATTCTCTTTATTCTATTGCTTTCCAGTTGTTCCAATGACTTTGCCAACTAAAGTTCTAAGTGCCCACCGTAAATCACTGAATCTTGTTGATTCTCCTCAGCCACTCCTAAAACAGGTAAAATATTTAGAATCGCTTTTTTTTTAAAACAAGTGTAGTATTCTTTGATGCTGGTGTAGCCCCAAGAAGTCTTTCAAATGGTTGAACTCAAAAGGAAGAGCGTATTTCTTGATCTCCAAGACTTTTGGAGTTAGAAGTTTGGGGTTTGCATGTGAACCCACTCACTTGTCTACAGTCTGCTTTGTGTCAGAATGTACACTGAATTTGATGCAAACCTTTATGTTTTGCATGTAGAAAAAGGCTACCGACTTTTTGCACACTCATCAGAATCTGTGTCACACTGGAGGAAATAAGCTAGCTCACTACCTAGCCCTGTCCTGTCTGTACCAGCAAGCCAAGGCCTGGCTACTTGCAGAGTAGGGTACAAAACCAGAAAAGATTCTTCAGGAAAACACATCTCACGGTGTTCCCCCTGGTTCCCATAATTTGTCATTTTATCCAGAAATCTCCCTTGATTTTACCCCACGTGAATAGAAAGATTCAGTGTCTGTTGGAGAATATTTTAACCTAACCTCAATTATAGGCTCTTAAAATTCACATACTTTGTTGTTTTAAAAAATATTTTATTGAAGCGTAGCATATATAGAAAAGTGTATAGAATGTAAGTGTACAGTTCAATGAATTATCACTGAGCCAATAGACGTGGGGAAATGACCAACCAGCCTTTGTGCCCCTCCCAGTCACGTCTACCCCTCCACTCCAAAGGTAACTGCTACCATAGATTTGACGATCAGGGGTTAGTTTTGCTGTTTTTGACCTTGGTATAAACAAAGTTCATATACGTTTTAATCTGTCAGTCCAGTCTCTTGCAAACATTGACCGACACAGCAATTCACTGATCAAAAATAGTAAAGCACATAAATAAAAAGCTACAAAAGATTCACTGAAATCCTGGAACACAGTGACAGACTTCCAAGACCAGGTCGGTGTGTAAATTCCCTATCTCAACGTTCACATGCTCAGCTCTTCTCCTCTGCTTTTTGGCTTTTGTATGGCCAGGTCCCTGAAGGTGACTTCCAGTGGCCCAGAGACGATCGTGGAGATGTGGACTGTGAGAAGCTGGTGGAGCAGCTGAATGACTGTTTGAACCTGCAGGACCAAGCAGACATTCTGTACATTCTGTATGTAATAAAGTAAGTTTCTGATCTCTACTAGGCCAAGCTTTCCCCAGTCTCCTTGATTCTGTCCTAGTTGTCTTGGCCTTGCAACAAGCTGGGTCATGACTCTATTACTCAAATTACCCGGCATCACTACAAACAAACTTCCATCCCTTTTCTGCCTACTCACACTGGCCTCTCAGGACGAGGAGGCTGGGTGAGGCCTGGAGCTCACCATTTCCTAATGTTAGGCTTCTGTGTCAAATGGACAGAAGGCATACTTTGATAAGACTCAACCCGGTCCTGAGATTCAGAGGCAGTGGGAGGGCCCTGAACACTTGGCAGAGTGTACAGTGATTCACTCCCCTCTCTGCCGCCACATGGGCTCTTCTGCAAGAGAATCCAGCCCGCCAGCCTGCCATTCTGGCCACACTTCTGGGGTTTTCTATCTCTCAACAGGGGGCCCAGCTGGGACACAAATCTCTCCGGACAGCATGGGGTCACAGTTCAAAACCTCCTCAGCGAGCTGTATGGGAAAGCAGGCCTGAACCAGGAGTGGGGTTTGATTCGCTACATCTCTGGCCTGCTCAGGAAGAAAGTGGAGGTCCTGGCTGAGGTCAGAGCCACTGTTCTGGCTGTCCCTCTGTCCTTTCTAGCCCCATGCACTCTTCCTATTATGGAAGCTGAAGGCAAGCATCTCTTGTTTGTAAAGGAAAACCAGTCATTTAATGTACAGGTGGAGTGGGCCTTCCTCTCCTGACCTCCCACTGTTCTTAGAAGGCGAGCAGAGGAAATGAAACTAAAGTTGGTTACTTTTGTTCCTTCTTAGCTGCAGAAAAAGGTTTAAAAAGAAATAAAGCGAAAATGCTCTGAGGCCTGGCACCCTCCTAAACAGAGCTCTTTTATTTCTGCACAACCATAGTATAATCATTAATATTTTTAACTCCATGGCCCTACAAAATCCAGAGCTGCTTTCTAGGACACTAAAGTCCAGTGTTATGGTAAGGAGATGGCATTTATTATATATGAATAATGGGGAAACTGACAATTTCAGGCTATAATATGGTTATTAACCCTTAATATTGGTATCTCAGGACTCATGACAGTCCATCCCAGTTGTGACATATCACAGAATCCAATGTGTTGGCTACAGTGGGTGGGCATTAAATACCCACTAACGGGCTCTGCAGAGCTAAGTCTGGAGCCCCATTTTGGGAACACGAAGATTACGGGGATGCAGCTGTGCCTGGGTTGCTCAGTCTGGGGTCTGTGCATGATTTTTTTTTTCAAATAAATGGCAACAAGGGTCATGAAGTTTATAAAAATAAATTTATGATTGTATTGACAGTACCCTTCCCCTTTGGCTTTGCTCATTTTCCCCTATTCCCCTCTCTCCCTCTGTCTCCCCCCTCCCTCCCCCTGTCCCCTGAATGAGTAGGCCTGCACAGACCTGCTGTCACACCAAACACAGTTGACAGTGGGCCTGCCACCGGAGCCTCGGGAGAAGATCATCTCTGCGTAAGTCTTCAGCCTGGGGCCCTCAGGTTTGCGGGGGCCATGGGGAAAACGGTGCCATTCATCATTCAGGAAGAGGGTCTTCCACTGTCACTTGGGAGTTTCCAGCAGGAAAATGAGGATCTTCCACAGAGGAAGAGGAAACACCACTTAGGTATCTTTCATGGTGTTTGTGTCCTGATACTCATTCCTAGGCCCCTTCCCCCAAAGGAGCTCACAAAACTCATCTACGAAGCCAGTGGGCAGGACATCAGTATCGCCGTCCTCACACAGGTAAGCTAGCTGGAGAGGAGCAGGGCTGTGGCCTTCTCCAGGCTGCAGGGGCCTTCACCACCACGTGGTCTCTGAAACGCCGTCTCTGTGTGTCTGCATCAGGAGATTGTGGTCTACTTGGCCATGTACGTCAGGGCGCAGCCTAGCCTCTTCGCAGAGATGCTCAGGCTCCGGATCGGACTCATCATTCAGGTGATGGCCACGGAGCTGGCGCGGAGCCTGAACTGTTCAGGTGCAAAGCGGGGGTGGGCCCTTGGGAGGCTCTTGCAGGTCAGCCCTGGAGAGCCTACCCAAGTACTCTGGGACCTGAGCTTCTTTGCCTTTCTGCATCCTCCTGCTTCAACACTTGGTTCTCTAGTTTAGATGTAACTTCTGCCAGGCCATCCAGCACAGGGTGTTGAATTTCATGTGTCAGGGGAAATGAGGGATTATTCTACCCTGCTCCTGACACCTAAGTTCCTTACCGTAGCTCCTTGCAGTAAGATCATCCCCCACTTAAAAACACCTCTGCTGTGAGAAATCCTGCCGACTGAAATACGTAAATCAACTACAAGGCACATCCCAATGTCGGGATCATTACAATGTGGAAAATATGTGTTTGAGAGTTAGGAAAATACACACCATAAACGGTAGCTTTTAGAATCATCAATGCTCAATATATTTCAGCCCTGAAACAGTGCGGAGGTAATCCTCAGCAGGGAGACCTGCCACGCCATTTTTTGTCCCCACCCTCAAGGCCCTGCTGACTCTACCTTCACCTGCCAACAGCCCTGCGTCTAGGACACTTACGAGATGTTTGTTTTTAGGAGAAGAAGCTTCTGAAAGTTTGATGAACCTCAGCCCTTTCGATATGAAAAATCTCCTGCACCATATTCTAAGTGGAAAGGAGTTTGGCGTTGAAAGGAGCAGTAAGTAAATGCTTATTTTACTTCTGTACAGAGGGAAGCAGAGAGGGCCCTATTGATGCATCTAGCATCACCTGCAACTGCTTCATTTATGTACAGATTGACATCAGTAATTGCACTTAGGGGCATGATACGTGAGGGTAAGGTTCCTACTTTACTGAGATGGATAGTCCCAGGTGCAAGGTTCCCTCTTGTCGGGCTTTTTGAGCCCTTGTAGACTTGCTGGGTGAGCTGTGGTCCCACATGGGCATGGTGTGCACACATCTGCACCCTGGCCTGCTACCTTCCTCCTGCCAGGCCCAGGTACTGCCACTATACATGGGTGTTAGGAGGGGTAAGGTAACCTGGGTGTCAGGATGAAAGGACTGTCTTTGCTGAACAGCTGAGTGCCCTCATGCCCTCACATTTGGTTTGGACAGACGTGTCCTCAATCAGACCCCAGCCCCCTTTATGCGACCGGGAAAACAGCCCTCTACAACCTCACAACACCTTCTTGCTGAGTGAGCTTGCTTCTTCCAGGGCTGGCCCACTCAGTTTTATCTGTACCGGAACCCTGTATGTCGTGCTAGGAAATAAAATCACCCAAGTCCTGGTGGAATTCTGTTCTCAAATGCTCTCTAATTGTAATTGAAGCAATTATCACTTCTCTTCCTCATAATAAAGCAAAATGATTTGCAGACACATTTGTGCATTTATTTCATCAAGCCAAAGAAATGCAGTGTGGGCTGTCATTCTTTTCATTTAAGAAGAAGGACATTGGGTACTTCATATTTGTCCCCAGACTATGTGCCAGCCAGCTAACAAACAGGCATCATGCCATCAGACGGGTTTTGATGACTTTTCTCCTTTCCTGAAGGAACAGTGCTTGAGATCTTTTCCAAAAGTAATTTTCAGCCCTGGCCAGGCGACTCAGTTCATTGGAACATTGTCCGATACACCAAAAGGTTGCAGGTTCAATCCCCAGTCAGAGCACATACCTAGGTTGGGGGTTCAATCCACATTTGGGCTGCGTATGGGAGGAAACCGTTCGATGTTTTGGTTTCGCATCTCTCGCTCTCTCTTCCTTCTCTCTCTAAAAAAAAAAAAACAATAAACATACCCTCAGATTAAGATTTTTTAAAGTAATTTTTAGTTCTTCCAAATGCTCAATTCTTATAATATAAATACAGATAAATATTTAATGTGTTCTGCTCATCAAAGTAATATACGTGTATTGACACAGATAACTCCTAAAATTTTGTTATTAGATGTAAAGCTATAGATGCTTACAAAATTAGGAGCAGAGTAATATCACTTGAAAGCCATAACTTTGTGTAATTGCAAAGAAAGCCAGAAGAGGCCCTGACTTTTGACATATAACATCATTTCTTAATTGCCCTTTGTAATTGTTCAATGTTTATAAATTAGGACATGGAAATAGTCGTAGCATTTTGATTAAATCCTGAGATGTCTGAGATACATATTTCCACCTAGTGCTTATCTCATACAGGCCCCACTGGAGCCTCCCAGACCCTTTCGGCTTCTTTCTGGGTATCCATCCTACCTCTCCAGCTAATCACTGTTTTTTTTTTTCCTGGGTTCCTCCCTCTCTTCTGTCCTTTAAGTGTAGGTGCCCCCTTGCTCCTTATTTGTCTTTACTCCCTGGGCAGTGTCCTCCACTGCATGGCTTCAGTGGTTTGTTGGGTAGCTGGGGCATGCAGGGAATGCTGCCTGAGGAAGTGACCTTTGAACTGGTCCTACAGAAGAAGATATGCCAGGCAGTGCGGAGCAGGCAGGGAGGAAGGGATCAACATATGCAAATGCCCAGCATTTGGTAGCCGGTCTGGAGTGGAGAGCTAAGAGGAGCAGGTGAGGCTCAAGTCCTTAGACTTTGTATGCCGTTGGGAGGACTCACTGGGCCTTATCCTGAAGACAGAGCTAAACCTGGAAGGGTTCTGAGTGGGCAATGACATGATCACACTTTGCCTTTTAAAGTGGCCACTGTGACCACAGCATGGAGATCCAGTTAGTGGGGGACAGGGCCGCAGACAGGTGTGAGTCCAAGGCAGCGCTGTAGCAGGTTGGGAGTGAGATGATGGAGGCTTCTCTGCCCCTTCTGTGACGGCAGCAAGGCACTGACCCTCGGGCAGCCACGACTTCTCTGCCTCTAATCCTCGGTCAGCTTGTTCTCCCAGGAGTAGAACAAACCGAGTAGTCTATTTTCTACAAGGAAGATGTGCTTTTGGAGAGAAGTAAAGAAGTTATTTTTTTTAAATAAGCAATTCATGAAAGGGTTTTATGACCTCTAAGTGTTTTCTGTGTGCTGGTTATTGACATTCATTCTCATGTATTTGCTCAAACACATATTGAGCCTGGGCCATGTAGCAGTTATGGTTCCAGGTGCTGGAAACAGCACCGAACAGCATAGATGAGGCCTCTTCTGATGGAATTTATACTCAAGGGGGGGAGAGAGATGGATAAAATTAAGCACATCACACATATTCCTTATGGTGAATACTATTTAGTTTCTAAGAACCACATGTTTCCTCTCCAGTGCGGCCTATCCATTCGTCTACATCCAGCCCTGCCATCTCCATCCACGAGGTGGGACATACTGGAGTCACCAAAACCGAGAGGAGTGGCATCAACAGGCTGAGAAGTGAGATGAAACAGGTAAGAAGAGGTCCTAGTGCTGATGGCACCAGGAGAGAAGGGTTTTCCTACCTGGGCTCCCCTCAGAAAGTGATAGAAACCCAGGGCATGCAGGGTGTGGCCCATTCTTTAGAGAGGATGTGAGATCCTTTCTGTCTTGGAATCTGAACATACTTCGTACCCAGATACCCCAGAGCCACTCCCAGATGCTCATCCTTAACTTTAATGAGTTATGTGAACATTCCAGAAAACACCTTCCCCATGTTTGCCTCTGCTGTTGAGAACTGCTCTCGAGTGGGCCACAGCCACTTAAAAAATAGTCATGCAAAAAGTAGCTGCATCATCTCTCCATGAAATGTGTCCTTCAAATGAAATAACCAGAGAAATCTAGCAACAGTATGAATGATACCTGTATTTTGCACTAGCCACAGCTGTCTCTTTTCTCTGTTCACCTTTATTTGACAACAAATTCCTTCTGAACTGAACCCACAGGACTACAAGTCAATAGGTTTTCAGTCCTAATGTGCTGGTACTGTGCTAGGGCTTGACCATGATCAGAAGGAAGCCTTTTCCTTCTGACCATGACTTGCAGTGAGAAATGTGTTCAGATTTTCTTCTCTATTTCAAATGATGACCCACTAGACCAAGTCCAGGAGGCAGTAATGGGTCACACCCTGCACTCGGACCAATGCTTCCCTGGGTTGTCCAGAGGGCAATAGAAGTATAGAAGTAGCAGGACATCCTTGATTCAAAACTGGCTTATTTACTTCCTGATGTATTTTTACTTTCAGATGACTAGGCGATTTAGTGCCGATGCACAGGTGAAACATCTTTGTCTTATTCTGCCCTTTACTGTGCTTCATGTTCTTTCTGGCTTGAATGTCAAAAGCGAGGCTGTGAACATGGAGAGTGTGAATGTGTGGAGAGTGGTTCTGCCCATCGAACAGGCTTGGGTGGAGGTGGCTCCACAGCTGTGGCAGGCAGCCCTGGGGACAGGCAGAGCCCTGGACTCGAAAGCAGGAGAAATATCCTTGTCCCAGATGTTTAAACAAAATCCACTTACTAAACTTGGTTTTGTAGGACACTTTGTGAAAGACATGGTCCCAGGGTTTGCCTTGGCAGGAGTTTCTGTTTCAAACAAGAAGGGAAATAAACAAGAAAAAATAAGCTGTAGTTGTTGATTATATCAGTAGAAAGAATACCGCTATTCCTATCCCCAAATTGCCTTGGGAGGGGGTGGATTTAACCCTGGAAGGAAACAATGTAAGGCTACCATTCTTTTATATCACCCTGTGCCATGCTTCTTCCAGAAAACCGGAGTCACATTCCTAATGATTTAATGTCTCCGTGACTGAGTGTAGAAGAATCATATAATGATATGCAGCCTCTCTGTGTTGTCCCAGGGCAAAACACCTGTGTTTTTGCATCTCTCTCGAATGTATCCTCTTTGCAAGAACAGACTTTCCAAATATGTTCCTTTGCCAGCCACTCGGTGGCACTGTCCCTCTGGTTACTCACATCCCCACAGTGCCTTCCAGGGAATATGGGTGGTTCCTTCTGTCTCCATTTAATGTCATCCTTGCATATTATGGGAACAAAATGACCACCTTTCTTAATTGGTGGCTTTATTTTCAGTTAGTAAAGTACAAGTTTTGTATTTGGCCACTTCCATCAAGGAAACGTTTTCTCTAAAATGCACTAGACGCCATGGTATTTTAAATTTCTATTAACTTTTGCAAGAACACCATGCATGGGTGCACATGTGTGTGACAGGCACTATTAAAGGTACATTCTAGATTTTTAGATGAGGACATACTTATTCTGCCAAAGATCTTCAGCCTGATCTTATTCATACATTTAACTGAATGCCAGTAGGTACAAGATGTTAAATGCTGGTTGTGAGTATTTTGTTGCTCTCTATAGATTTTCAGAACTTTTAACATAAAAGATTAGCATTTCATGGCTGTAATTTTGGAAAATAAATTCAGTCCTAACTTGATGAGGAACCCTCTACATCTGAGTAGAATGCAGTACCATTTCATACTGAGAGAAAGAACATTTCCCAAGTTCACCGCACAGAGCCCTAGAGCCTCCCCGCCCCACCCGGCCTCTGGGGCTGTTTGTCTGGTTGCCGAATGAGCACTTCTGTCCATCTGCGTCCTCTGTACCTTTTTTCTGCGGGTGTTTTCCGTGCTGTTCTGTGTTCCTCCTCTCCACTTGTGCCCTTTGGTATCACTGCACACCACTGAATAGACTCTCTTTGTCTTGTAGCTCTTTTCTGTGAGCCAGGCCGTGTCCAGCAGTTCATATTCCTCCAAGTCTATGGTAAACCATGCGTGCCGATCATTGTCCCCACCGCTGCCTCCTTGTCTGTGGTGTCTCAGTCCTTTTGTTGCCCTTCTCATACTCCCACTTCATCCCTAACTCCTGAAGATTTGAACAGGTTTAAGTGTTTTCATTTGACCGTCAGGATTAGGAGAGTGGACAAAGAAAGCCAAAAGCTGAGAAGTTCTTAAACTTAGTTTTGTTTGTCCATGAGCTTTTGGAACTTCTGCAGCTTTTCTGTGGAGCCGCAGTGGTGAACCATTGCCCCCATATGCTCATTAGCTCTGTGTACTCATAATGCCCCTGCCTGGTGGGAGGCCTCAGATAAAGTGCAGGCCTAGGAAGTATTGCAATTGCTGAAGCGAGTCTGAATCTTCCTCCTGAAATGGGAAGGAGGAAGCCAGCTGAGTCATTGATGAGTACTGCTGTAATTACTTTTATTTGTATCTAATTGTTGCCGTATTTAAATGGCAGTAATGAGCCCAGTGGAATAACCCAGCAAACAGGCTTTTCAAAATAAGATTTGATAAAGTCAAAATGACTCCATAGAGAACACTCCTACCTCCTGCCCTGGTAGCAATGCTAAACATTTGCATTTCATTTTTTAAAAAGATTTTATTTATTTATTTTTAGAGAAAGGGAAAGAGAGGAAGAAAGAGTGGGACAGAAACACCAATTTGTGGCCGCCTCCCGTGCTCCCCCTACTGGGGACCTGGCCCGCAACCCAGGCATGTGCCCTGACTGGGAATCCAACCGACAACACCTTGGCTCTCAGGCCAGCACTCAATCCAGTGAGCCACATCAGCCAGGGCTACATTTCATTTTCAAACCTTTACGTTTCATGTTGTGCACTGAGAAGTGAAAGTGCCAGGTAGTCCAGATAATATGTAAGGATGAAGGTTACCCCTTTCTAACCTGGAGACCACGCACTGAGAATCCATCCATGGGAAGAAGCAGGCCCAGAGCCTTGCTGCAGAGAGGGAGCACAGCATGGCCTCACCCCATCTGCTGCTACTGTGGGGGGGGGTCCCCTAATTCAGTCCTGCTCTCTAGGCCCCTGCTGGGACTCTCGAAGAGTTGCTTCTGCTGTCATGGGCAGGCTAGCTGAGGCCAGAGCGGGACTGTTGGCCTTACCCCAACACATCTCTCATGTAGGTCAGAATCAGTCCAGCCTCGGGCAAGGAGGTGGGCAGGAGATGGCACCCTGTCCCTCCGCTTCAGCAGAGCATGTATTCCTGACTCGGAGGCAGCCATTGCCCCAAATTAGGATAAGACCCCATGTTGAGAATAGGCAGAATAGAGAGCAGATTGAAAAGGACAGGTGCCCGTACCATGCTTTCTGAGGTCCTCACTACTAAATGGGGATCCCCAGCCTTTTCTTTCTGGTTTTGGCTCTGAACCCTCCCCCACCCACCCCACCCCCACCCTTTGTTATGTGTTGTGTTCTCTGTTGCGCTGAAGTAAAGTGGCACTTTGACAATTGTCTCCCTGGGCTGCAGCACCTCTGGGGGACTCACCTGCTCCAAGGGCCTAGTGTCTCTCTCTGGGTGCTCCTGTAGCAATGCTAGATGGCCTTGGCAGTGAAAACTGACCCTATGAGCACTTAGCACCAGCCAGGCATGCTCTTGGGGTTTTCTGCATCTTCATTCAGTGAATGCTGCCAGACAGTCCGACTGTGTCCCCACTGTGCAGATGAGGTCTCGTCCTGGAGCCAGTGTCAGGATCAGGGATTGCTGCAGTTAGTGCTGAGCCAGGATTCGCCGCTAACCCCGGAGCCTGTGTTCTCACCTGCTTGGCCTCCCTGCCAGGTTGAGGTCTGTGCTGCTGGGCTACCTGTTAGGGCCAGGTGCAATGCACCGCAAAAGTTCAGTAACCAAACTGATGCACGAAAGAGTTAATCCAGCTTCAAGAACTGGTCAGGCTTCGATCAAGGAAGCCACATTACCCTCTGGGAAAGTGGTGATCTGGTGTTTTCACTAGTTCACTGGGCTGTCCTGCAGAGCCGGCCATGAGGATTTTAAAGGCCACACACTGTCTCTCTTGCAGAAGTCCAGCACCCCGTCCTCGCCCACTGGCACATCATCGTCAGACTCCGGCGGGCATCATATTGCCTGGGGGGAGCAGCAGGGCCAGTGGCTGCGCAGGAGAAGGCTGGATGGGGCCATCAACAGGGTTCCTGTGGGATTCTACCAGAAGGTGTGGAAGATCCTTCAGAAGGTGAGCTTGGCTGCTGTGCTGAATTCCTCAGGCCTCAGGGCTGGGGGACACACTCCCAGGGAAATGAACCGATCCGATCACCCTTACTCCCTTAGGGAGGCATGGTGGCACCTACTGGTATCATCAAGCAGCATGTGGCTGCAGAGTAAGCGAACACACAGCACCTGACCTTGCATAGCTGACAGCCTATAAAGCAGGACTTCTTCACCTTGGTTGCACTGATATTTGGGGCTGGGAAATTCTTTTTGTGGAGTCTGTTCTCTGCATTGTGGACTATTAAGCAGCATCCATGGCCTCCACCAATAGATGCTGATTGCACCCCCCCCCCGAGTTGTGACAACAGAAAATGTCTTTGGACATTGTCGAGTGCTCCCTGGGCTGCAAGTCACCCCTGGTTGAAAACCGCTCAGGGGAACCACAGCAAGTTACACTGCTGACATATCAGGAACATAGAAAGGTCAGAAAGTAGACAAGAACCAGGGAGGGCAGGGAAGGCTTTGGGCGAAAACATGATGACATAGATGACCCACAACAGCCCCCCACCTCACCACCCCTGAGCCCCCTGCACTATTAGGCAGGTGTGGTATCCATACTGTTCAGTGACAAGATTGAGCATTTCCCATCTCAGGGCACCATGTCAGGTCCTGAGGGCTTGAAGGTCCTGAAGGCACAAGCTCTACACACCCTGGGCCTCTGCCTCCCCGTGTGGAAGACAAAGACCTCAGACCCACTCACCCTAGCGCTTACTAGTCCTGTGGCTACCAGATGGGGCTGCATTTTGCAGCTGCCTGGGGCTGTGAAAATCTCAGCAGAGGTCATCAGCAACAGATGTAAAGGGACAGGCACAGACTGCACTGCACTCGCCGGAACACAGGAGAACCCAGTCCAAATGCCTGTGGCCAAGGAGGAGCCCATGGGGGGAGCTGTGCCCCTTTGCTCTCCGCACTCACATTCTGCCCCACTCCTACATCAGCCCCAGAGCATTTCTGTCTCTGTCTCCCTGGATTGCACTACAGCCTGTCTTTCCTCTTGCAATGGGCAGGGCTGATTTTTTTCATAAGCTAATTTTGTTAGCTCATTTCACAGTAGGAGAGAAAAGAAAAGTCATCCCGATCGAGCACATACAACAAGCCCTTTCCCAAACCCACTGTAGTATTTCTGTGGCAGAGCTCCAGGACCACTAGGGACCTTTGGCTTCCCTGTGTGGGGAGACTGAGGCCTTTCCTCATCAAGCTGGGCATGGGGAGGTCAGAGCCATCCCTGCCCTCATGCAGCTGGGCTCCTGGTCCCCACATGAGAAAAGAGCCCTCAGATCCCACAACGGCCTCTAGTTCTCTATTCTCTTCCTCTTCTCAAGAGGCACGAATGTTTTGCACCCGCTCTCTATCGCCAGCCCCCCAGGGACAGGGGTGGGCAGCTGCTGCTAGCCAGGACGTGGGGTTTAGAAGGCAGCCAATTACACTAAAACAAACTATTCCTAGAAAATCTCCCCACTCTTCCTGGGACATCACACACTTCCATCCGGACTTCCACTGGCTCAATACCAAGACACTTTTATTATGAAAAAGCGGCATTTTGTATCGAGTTGGCGCTTGATACTTATATACATGGGTGTGCGTGTGCGTGTCTGTGCATGTGCTTGAGTTTTTTGTGATTGCTGCTTATTATAGCAATCTCAAAAATAGATGCTTTGCAAAGGCACAGAAGTAGCACTTCACCAGCAGGAGCCATGAAACTCTCCCTTTCTATGACACCAGTGGGGGTCTCTCTGCCAAGTGAAATGCGGAGCTTCCATAGAGGAGGACCCAGCAGCTCCTGGGGCGTTGTTCATGTGAGATCTGAAACATGCCTGCTGGTTCTCTAGAATCATTCCATCAAAAACACAGCCTGTGGGCAGTGAGAACAGCTCTCTAAAAATAAATGACAGCCTGGCGTGTTCCAGCCCTCATGCAGGTTTCCAGGGCAGAGTGACTTAATTGTGTGTACATGTGCATGTGCATGCACGTGTGTGCACACGAATCAATCACATTCTGGAATCCGACTGAAATGTGATGTGTGTGTTCTGCCTGCAGTGCCATGGTCTGTCCATCGATGGTTATGTGCTCCCGTCCTCAACAACACGAGAGGTACTGCAGGAAACACCCAAACGCCGGCCTTCCACCATTTCCACCAAGTACTGTATTTCACGGACTCTGACCACTGATGCTTCTTGCAAGCTTCTTACATATATAGATGGGCCATTGGAAGGTCTGATCTTTTTAGCTACTCAACCCTAAAATTTTGCAGTTTCTTTCTCACATTTACTAGTATCACCTTTTGTCCTTCCTGTCAGAAACAGCATTTCTGACTATCAAGGTCTTTAGATTTGCCCCATAAAACCCTATTAAGAAGAAAAAAGCAAAGCTGCATGCCATAGTCATGAGACCCCCATGCAGCCCCCTCTGACCCCTCTCTGCTGAGAGCAGCCATCTTCCCTGGTTTCTTTTCCCCTGTACGTTCTTTTAAAAACTGATTTTTTTAGTTTTGACCCTGCCCAAAGCACCATGCCATATGCCACAAGAATGATGAAGAATGAAAAATAAGAAATGGTCCCTGTCCCCAGGAACTCAGAGTCCAGTGGGTGAGGTAAATCAAGCTAGGACAAGGCCAGCTGCCTCCCAGAGCATGGCCTTAGGCTCCTGCTCCAGAGGGTTTCGGCTGGCAGAATCAGGACAGTGACCAAAAAGGAGGCAGCATTTGAGCTGAGGTCCAAATCCAGTGGGTGTTGTGATTAGCACTGGTGGTGACAAGGCTGTGTCTGTCCCGGCTCACTCCTGACTACCCTGATGGGTCCCTTTGGCAGATGACCCCGCAGGAGATCAAGTTTGCTGTCCATGTTGAGACGGTGCTGAACCGTGTGCCCCAGCCTGAGTACCGGCAGCTTCTGGTAGAAGCCATCATGGTCCTGACGCTGCTCTCAGACACGGAGATGAACAGCATTGGGGGCATCATCCATGTGGACCAGATTGTACAGGTGGCCAACCAGCTCTTCCTGCAGGACCAGGTGGGTGTGCCCGGGCCTGCCCAGTCACCCCGGAGCCAAGGTGGGGACAGAGGCAGAATAGCCAGTTTGGCTGACATTTATCTAGGCTGGAGATCCTGTGTCCAATATGAAAGAATGTTCTTGAACAAAGAAAATGTCACCACAGATGGTGAAAAATGTCAACCATTTGGCTAGAAAATGGCACAATGGCCACTTGGGAAATCTAAAGACCTTGGAAGATGGACAGGCCCATTTCAGCGTATGTTTTTTTTTTTTAATTTTTTAAATTGATTTGAGAGAGAGAGAGACATTGCTTTGTTGTTCCACTTATTGATGCATTCGTTGGTTGATTCTTATATGTGCCCTGACCAGAGATTAAATTCCACAACCTTGGAGTATCGACACAATAACTCTAAGTAACTGAGCTACCTGAGCAGGGCTCAACATAGGTTTTAGTACAAACACCATCCTTGCTCATACCTGGGTAGACAAAACCACTTACTCTGCAACCAAAGTTGCATTAGGAGAAGCCACATTCTCTTGTTAGAGTCAGTGATGCCCTGTGCACAGGGGTGTGAAAGAACCCAGGGCAGTGTCCAGAGTAGAGGCCAATGTTCTCCCTGGACACTGTAGGCTCTCCTCTCCCAGGCCTGCAACACAGAGTCATCACAGGGCTGCAAGAGCAAACTCTGCTCATCCTATCCTCTGCCTTTTCTTGCCGCAGATGTCAATTGGTGCCATGGACACCCTGGAGAAAGACCCAGCCACAGGCATTTGCCACTTCTTTTACGACAGTGCTCCAAGTGGGGCTTATGGGACAATGACCTACCTAACAAAGGCAGTGGCTTCTCATTTGCAGGAATTGCTGCCCAATTCAGGCTGCCAGATGCAGTAGGGCCTCGGCACTCTGAGTCCGTCACTTGCCCCCTAGCCTCACTGGGAACTTTCTTCTGTTGCCCAAGATCCCCTGTGCTGTCGCAAAAGCATGTCTCATCAGAAACACTGGCAGGGCAGAGATGGCAGTGACTGAAACCAGTGTATGACCACGCCACAGAGAAAGCCAAGGAATCCTGTGCCTCCCCAAGGAGCAGCATAGGATCATTGTCTAGGTCCATTTTCTTGGCACATTCGTCACAGCATCTGGTCTCCTGGAGTCTCAAGAGGAATTGGAAACTGGTCTCTTTTCAGAACAGAGTGAACTGAGAAGCCAGCTTAAATTGGCTTTCACGGAGAGTTACCAAAATAGGTTTGGTGAGCTACTGCACATATTAAAGATACTTCCAGTAGCAGTAGCTAGACAAGCCAACCTGGACAAGTGGAACATCTTAACAGGATGTATTCCGTTTGTGGACCAAACAGTTTACCAAATAGAACAACCCTAGCTTTCTGAGGAAGCTTGGTTTTCTTGTAGTTTGCTTGCTTTCTTGATATCTTATCTCATTGCCATGGCTACCTTCATTACCTTCGATTCATGGTCTTCAAGGATTTTATCCTGACTGCCTGCAAATTAGGAGTTTCTCCTGCTTTCTGAAATATCCCACATCTCCTGGAATCCAGCAAACAAAAGCCAATGTCAGGGAAGGAGCAAACTGTTCTGCTAGCTGGGTCAGCTGTTGTGGGGCTGCAGCGGGCAGGGAGTCCCTCTGGAAGGCCTATCACCCTCTGCCCCTCCCTCTGGGGGAGCCAGGTGATGAGTATGTGGCACCAGAGGGCATGGAAATTTGTAGTAGTGTGCTGCCGTAAAAACAATGCTTCTCTCTTACGATAAAGCCAGGCTGGGGGCTGGAGACTGGGGACTCAAGCCCTTCTCCTGCAAGTGCTTCCATTTTAACACTCGTGTACGTGTGGTTGGAGGCCTTGAGTGTAGAGGATCCAGAACAAATCGCGACCAGGCAGGGCCTTGCCAATCTTTTGCCAGGGGGATAGAGTTTCTCTCCAGCTGTCCCAGGGGTGGGGCAGTAGGCAAACAGTGTATATGAATAATGGAGCTGAAAGGACAGTCAACTGGTGGCCACATGGTGAACTCTGGCTGGTTGAGAGTGATGGGTTGGATTTGTGACAACTCTGCCTCTGAAATGGGAACATGGTCATCGGATATTTACTGGGAAGTTTAAGTGACAGTGGAGAAACATGATGGTCTGGCTGCTTTGAGTGGACATTGCAGTGCCTGATGCATCCTCAGAGTCAAGATATAGTAAGGACAGTTATTCCAGAAGCCAAAGGAAGTTCCTGGTAGTTCCTGCTGAAGAGCCTCTCCTCGGTCCCAGCCAAATACTTGGCAGCTGCCCCTGGAAGAAGCAGCCCAGATCACAAGTCTCGGCGCACCTACCTGGACTCGGTGGTGTCTAGGCACCGTTCACAGGGAACATCAATGCCTCTGTTTTCCATGTCTTGAAAACACAGTACTTTTCTTTATGAAGTACAGAGTAGTTACTGAGGGGAGAGGCTCTGGAATCTCTCAGCTTCTACTCCCATGCATACATGCTTTCTCTCCCCCTTTCCTTGCCCTTCTCCCCACCCACCCTGCCATTAATATCAGTATGTAAAACCATTCTCCTCAGATTACTAGATCCTTACTTCATTCGTCAGCATGTGTTGAGAAAGTGTTTTCTGTGCCTGTGTGAGAATACAAAGTGAAATGAGATGCAACTCAGGGAAGGCTGATGTGAAAAGATGGCCACCGTGCTCTATGGTGGCGGAGGAGAGCCAGTGTCAAAGAGCCAGAGAAGGTGCAGGATCCCCTCACAACACTGGCACTGGTGGGGCAGATCCCAGTGACAGCGTGGGCACCATGCTGCCCACCCCCACCCTGAGCTCCTGCCATGCCCCGGAGCCTTCCTGTTCATGCCCTGTCTTCCCTGGGAAACCCGTTTACTCCTATTTGCCTCTGAGGGTCCAGGGCAGGTCACAGCCACCCAGGTTTCATAGTAGCATTTCATAGCCTTTATTTTTTGCCGTTCTTAGGACACAGTTGCCATAAACAGGGCTCATGTAAAATTTACCTAGTAGACTCCCTGGTGGATCTTTTCAGACACAGATAATGTAGGAAAGGTACGAGCTGTGAAAGTTCCACTTGCTTCTTGGGAGAAGGCTCGGGAATGAGTTACAGCCCTCCAAAATGAGCCAGGTGCTAATTTAGAATAATCACCTGCCCGTGGATGACGTGCAAAAGCCACGGATGCTGTGTTTGGGCTCACCAACTGAGATGCAGGCTAGGAGAAGAGCCATAATAAGCAATTCAGCCAAGCCTTCAATTCACTCTTTAGAAACCTCAAATGAAATCCTGAAATAGTACTGCATTTCCACAAGCATCAAGCTGTCAGCTTCAAAGGAGAACAGGCTTCTGAGGCTTGATCCCTTTCACAAGCAGCTGAGGCCCACGCAACAAAGAGGAACAGATGTTGCAGGGGCCTGTCCTGACCATCCTGGTCTCATGGTTTTGCGGGGTGGGGGGGGGTGTGCTTTCCTATCTCCATCCTCAGAGCAAAGAGGCCAGTTTTGACTTTTGCTGAGCTGGGGGTAACATGTTCTGTTTCAGAGCCAGATCAAATACGTCTTTGAACATCCTCAGCTGAAAAGCAGCCAGTGGCTTCACCTGCTGCTCACCCTGGCTTTGACCCAGGTGAATTCAGCAGCAAGGAGGAAGGTTCAGTCTCTGAGTCTACCTAGCCTTACATTTCAGGTCTGACCTGGGCCAGTTATTTGCCCTTTGTGTTCCTCAGTTTACCCATCTGGAAAATATGCAGGAAGCCTGCAGACTGGTACAGGAGTTAGCCCAGGGCAACTGTAGGAATCCCCCAACACCCCCCATCTCTGGCAGTCAGGGCCCACAGCCTTCCCATTCACAGGAAGCCAGCTGTGCCTGATGGTGACCTGGGCTGAGCTCTATTGGTCATGCCCCTGTCTCCCAGGGTGGCTGTCTGTCAAGGGGTCAGTTAGACCTTCTGCAGCTCTATGGAAGGGTGATGAATGGAAGGAGAGACTGTTACCCATTAGCTGCCTAGACAGAGTGCATGTAAATGCTCCCTGTGTAAAGAAAGAAAAAGAAAAAAGACCAAAGATTAGCAGGGAAGAGAAACAGTTTGTCAGCTGATTGATGCCATTTATTTCTGGACAAGAAGACAGGAGGCACAGCCTCCCTTGCTGTAAATTACACAGAACCATCTCTCAGTTCTATTGACTCGTGTACAAGTCTGGCAAATAGCTTTTGTCTTCACTGCTTCCTTTTTGTCAGAGGGCACAAAAGCCTCCCAACCCCCTCCTTTGGCACCATTGTCCTTCAAGGTGACTTATGCTTTCGAAGTCCCTGCCATCTGTTCCGTGTGTCTCTGCACTTTGCCTGGTCCCAGAATTCCTTCTGTTCTCCTGGACTTGGCCCCCAATAGCTCTGCTGTGAGGAGAAAGTAAAGCTGCTGTCACCCTCTTAGAGCCCCCTCGCCCGCCACAGGAAGCCATTTAAGAAAATCCATGTCCTCGAGTCACCAAAAAGAGTTCTCTGAGGAATATGAAGACCAAAACAGCAGGAGAAACTGCTCTCAAGTCTGTAGCATGGAACATTTGACTGATGGTCTGAGAGAGGAAAAAATTTCATCAGAAAACAGTTGTGTGTGTGTGTTTAAGGAACATATGTGCAATTTTGGCAAAAATGCCTTCTTAGAAGGACTGGAATAATTGGAACCAATGAACTCTGAAGTCATGTGATGATTCATCCCTCTGCCTTATTGCAATATGTCAACTATTCTGAAAAATGAATTTCTCGGAAAGCATTTATTGTGCATTGCTCAGCATGCAGATACGTGGGGTAGGGGAGTGGGAGATGAACACAATGACTCCTGGGTTTGTGAAGACAGCTACGGAAGGATACTTCGCAGCCTCCCATGAAAGCATCCTAGCACTTGGTGTACCAGGACCTCCATGTCTCAAACCTAAATCCTGAGCAGCTTCAGCCTGTCTCTCAGCGGGTGGCTGCCAGATGCTTCCACCTCCAGCTGGTATAACGGGAGCGCCAGGCTTTGCAAAGGGCATGGGTTTGGGCTGTCCAACATGGGACCAAGCTGTATCTGAATTGGGCATAGGGCCATGGTTGTGCCTCCCGTGTCCCCTGTTTTGAAAGAGCTTTCCAGCCACAAACCCAGGATAGGCACACCCAGGAGGAGCCCCAGTCACTAGCTCTAATTTCTCATGGCCTCAGTGTCACCCTTTGCCACTGTGTCACAGTTTTTACTTGCAAATAACAGCACCTCTGGCTGGGTAGGAAATATATTTCTTAAGGGATATTGGATAAGTCGCATGGTCACTAGGCTTGGCACTTCCTCAGACAGGAACAAGGCCCCATTTCGCCTCCAGGTGCCCCTAGGCTCACAGCCTGGGGCTTGCACCACAGATGTCCCTCCATGCTGGCTATCATCACTAGGGTCATGGCCTCTGCTCTTTTGGAAACTGAACATGAGGCTTTCACCTGTCACCAGAGTGGATTTCACACAGCTGCTAGCTGTCAATTCAGTCTTGGGCAGGTGTGTTGCATCAGCTTGGGGGTGGAGGGGCAAGTTGTTATCTGAGAGGGAGATTGGAAAAGCCAGTATTTTCAAGTTCCTCCTGAAGTGGAGGCGCAGTTGGCATCATAACGTGGCAGATCCCACAGACCTAAGAAGGGGATTTGATGCCAAGCATCCAAAACTTAGTGTCTACTACAGCCAGGACTCTTGTCTTTTACTGATTTGTCCAGAAAAGGACCTATCTCTCCCCTCCATCCCCAGTCTGCCCTGAGAACTGACCTAAGAGGCATCTGTGCCCTTTGAGGAAGAGTGTGAAGCAGGAGTGAAGAGGGGCATGCAGGGGACCACCAGGCTTGTGTGGGTCATTCCAGTACCCCCTCTGGGCTCAGCTAGGACAATTGCAGTTTCTCCCTTTGGGTAATGTTACTGAGTTGTCATGACTGGATCGCCACTGCTACCCAGACAGTCGAGCAGGGCACCTCCCAGCTTGCAGCTTCCAAGGAGCTATCACAACCCTTCCACTGGGGCCCTGGAGGAGTTACTGGGCCTCACAGGTTTTTTTGTGACCACCAGCCCAGCTCCGTTAGCCTCTTTCTGGACCCTGAGTGACAGCCCATCTGGGACAAGACACAAATGATTGTTGCATCTTTTCCTGCTAAGTCTTCAGCCAGCTGGGGGATTTAAAAATAAAGAATTGGAATTGCTTCCAGATGTAAGCCTCTCTCCTGACACTGTGGATCATTTCCTTCAGCTGTCACCCGGGATCAGTGCCTGAGCTCTTGCACACATCCCAGTGACTCATGGGCTCAAGGGAGCACAGGCATCGAAGTGAGCTGGCCTCTCAGTGCCGCTCCCCTTCTCCCTCTCCTGTGGCAGCAGCACCAGGTCCCACGGCCGTTCCCTCTTCCTCCTGAACCACAAGAGATCCAGAGCTACACGGGCCCAGGAGGCTCCATGGTGGCTCTGTGAGGGCCTTGTACACAGTTGGGGGAGGCAGCTCTTTGTGCCAGGAGATGAAGAAACTGCTAAGTGGGCCCTTGCCATGTAGCATGGCAGCTTGTGCTGACCTTGCAACCCGAATCTCCTGAGCTGACACATCCTGCAGGCATCACACACACACCTGCCATATGTGCTTCTGTCCCCGGTCCTCTGATGGAGAACAGAGATGGCTTCTGCGCTGTCAACACACATTTATGCAGTTGACACTGTGCTTGGCAGGCTACAGTGTAGACAGCTCCAGGTTTAGGAAGGGAAGAGACAAAATAAGAAAGTCAACAGGGATAGATGGGTTGAATTAGAGCCCAGAGCCAGAGGAGAGTTTGAGCACTGGGCCCGCAGAGGTTGGAATGGGGAGGTTCAGAAGGGAGGATGGCAGAGGCTGTAGCACAGCCCTTTGTCACTTGATGCCAGGGACCAGTCCTCCACCAGGACCGGCTCTGTTTTCTCCATGATGCAAGGTCAAAGAAGGAAAAGGCCACACTGGTGCTGCCTGTTGACTCCTCAAAACCCTGCCCTGGGTGTGATGGACCCCCTCCACCCCCAGCAAGTGAAGGATAAGTAAAATATTCCCTTGAAAAACTGAACCTCAGGCCAAGAGCTTCTTAAGAATATAATCCATCAGTATTGAAGTCAGTCTTATTGATAGATGGCAAAGTGCTGTGCTAGGGCTGGGAGTGGATATAACAGCTGAGTGAGGCCATCTTCACAGCTCCCTATAGCTCGACCAAGGGGGCTAAGAAACCAGCCTCTGACTCCTCCTCCCTCTCCCTGCACAGACAATAAGCAGAGAAGCAGTTAGATGCATAGTGTGACAGAGAACGAGAGCCAAGGACAGGACAGGAATAATGGAGAAAAAGGGCAAGGAGGCCTGGGAATGGTGGGGTCTGTCATATGGGATGATTAGAGAAAATCTCTCATCATAAGGCAGCATTTGGTCAGAGGCCTGGAAGAAGTAAGGCATTGAACTAGGGGATACCTAGGGGAATAGCATGCCAGGCAGAGGGAACAGCCAGTGCAAAGGCCCAAGGTAGGAGTGCATTTAATATGTTTGCTGAAGGGGAAGGAGATCAGAAGGCAGAAGTGGTGCCATCAAAGGAAGAGCTGAGACTTTGTTTTTTGAGGTGTTTGGGACAGAGGAATGACTATTACTGTGAGTCCTTCGAGAGATATTTGCTTTACAGGGAAGCAGGGCAGAGGGGGGAGGGGTTTCATTGTACAGCAGGTTTGGAGGAACTGTCTTGGGGGGGGGTGAGAGGAGAAGGGAGCAAGTGCCTAACGAAGATGATTTCACTTCCGCTTTCAGAAGCCCAGAAGCTCAAGGAGCAGTCTCTGCTCTGCTGCTATGTCTTACCCTAAAGGGTAAGAATCTGGTAGCTGGAAAGTGGAGGCAATTGACTGATTGACTAATAGGGAAATTATTCCTGTTCACTTCCTCAACCCTCCTTCCCTGTCTCAGGCTAACCCTGTGTGGTCCTTCAACCATTTTCAAACAAACGTCCACACTTCTGTACCCAGCCATTGCCCCCCTCTGCCTGCCACACTTATGGGTATGGGGTGGTGATTCTTGTGCCCTGTGCTGTGAGGGTCCCCAGTCCCCGATTGTCACCCTCAGGCTCAGCTTTGCTTACTATTTGACTGCCCTTGGAGAAATTTCTCCTCATCCGCAACCCAAAGGATTTCAGACCTCTTCTCTGTCATCTGCAAGCACCCACTCACCTGCGTTTCAAGCGGGGCATTAGAAAGCACTAAAAAGACTGTGGGGCTGAGGCCTTCTAGGCTCTAAAGGCTTCACATTCTGCAAGCCGTTCAAAGGCTGCTTCCTCTGCACTTTAAATAGATGTGCTGTGTTGAGTTTTAAATTTGACACATTTCTTTTTTGGAACTTAAAAAAAGCACAATGAAAAGTAAGCAAGCAGGCAAGCAATGTAGTGAGTCATCCTTGGGAGGAAGGAAGCAGCTCCCTGCTGCAGGCAGTGGTCAGGGGAACGTTCCAGGAGGCTGGAACCCCAGGCTGTGCACTTTGAGGGTGAAGCAAAGGGGAGAGTGGATGGGAATAGTTGAGACCAATGGGATTGTCTCTGAGGAGTCCCTGGAATTAGAGACTTTCTCTTTGTGGGTCTCAGTCTGGGCAACCTCAGGTATGTTGGAAAGACAAATGAAAGCAGAGAGATTTACACGGGACATCCTGTCAAGTAACACATCCCTCAGATATCCATAGAGGACACAATATTGTCCACCTTACATTTGCTTAGTTACATGACTGTTATTAGCACAGAATTTTGCTGATGGGGAAACTAAGGCTCCAGACTGGTTGTAAATTTCATGAATTCTCCCACAATAGATTAGGACTAAAGCCTGGGGTGCACGCAGAGCTCAGAGCTGGACCAACAATGCTCTGGGCTTGGCCCTCAGTCCAAGGCCAGCCCCTAGGCAGCCCTTGGACTCCCAGCTAAAAGAGGGTGGTAAGGTCCTGCTCTGGTCTTTCTAAGGGACTGGTTAGTGCTTTGCAAATTTCACAGCTCTGAACAACTAGTGTATGTATTGTAATGTGGATACCACCACCTGAGAGGCCTTGACTAGATGGTCAGCCTTTGGCACAATCGGAATGGAGGCAGCATGTGGCTTAAGGAGTGGCACCTCCCTTTGACCACCTCCTAGGCCAGCCCTTTATCTGGCAGGTCAGCTGGGCCTGAAGTCAGACCTCCATGCTTCTCTTTGGATCCTGGTACCCTTGAATTATGCATGGTCTCTTGGTGCCTCAGTTTCCTCCTCTCTGAAATGGGATAGTAAGTGTATAACTGCCCTCATTGGGCAGTTCCAGAGATTAACACATAATGTAAAAATAATAACAACAATAACAAGATAATATAATAAGGCTATGGTAATGTATATACACTGCTGGCACATGGCAGAGGCTCAGTGACAGTGGCTGCAGTCACCCCCAGCACACTCCGTGGCATCCCCCCCAGTATATGCAGACTCCTAACCCTGTGAGAGGCACCCCAGGTGTTTATGAATGTGGGCTTTGGATACAGATGAGCTACTTTTTAGCTGCGTAGCCATGGATGGCAAGTCACTCTCTGAGTCCTATTTCCTCATTTGTCAAGTAAGATTTTTGAAGGACCAACAAAAATGAGATAATGGGAACCAAAAAAAAAATTAAGAGTTCTATCACAACTGCAGCCCAGTGGAGGTTGGTCTGGCCCAATTCAGGTGTTAGTAACTAGCACTCTAGCGAGGTCAAGCTCACAGCCCTGTGCACCCCCCTGAGCAGCGCTCTCTGCTGTGGACCAAGGATGAAGCAGGGTGGACAGATGCAAGGGAGGGCACTTTGGGGAGGAGGACCAAAGAGCTTCAAAGTGCTATCTTCATCTTCAACCTCTGAAGTCCTTGTCCTGGAACTTGTTGCCTAGGGCCCGAGGGGAAGCATGTATTATCCCCATTCTGTAGGAAGGAAAATGGAGGCTTAGGAGAGGCTCAGAAACTGCTCTGGATTCCAGAGCCTGTGTAGAAATGGCAGAGCTGAGAGTCAAAGCTGGGCCTTGCTTTTTAAAACTGTAAAACTGAATCCTTCTAAGGATTCATCCTTCCCACCGCTTCTTTTCAAAAAAATATGGAATAGCACGCACAACAAGATGGGGAGACAGGGAGAGCATTCAGGCAGCACTCGGCTGAACCCTGGCCCCATGTCATTTTTCTGCATTTAATCAGGACCTGACAGTTTCCCCAACCACTGCTCAGCTGAGACCAAGCCTCCACAGGCCTTGAACCTCCTCAGCCTGCCTCTGGGAGAGGGGGCAGCTAGGCAGCCTCCACCCATCCTCAGGTGTTTGGCTCCACTTGGCAAAGAGGACTCCAGACCTGAGGCCTATCCCCACTCCCCATTTTCCGCCTTCCTGGGAGGAGACAAGTCCATTCTCTGCTGCCCAGCACTGTACCTCAGCCCCAAGGATCACATGCCCCCAACACACCCCCATTCTCAAAGCACCGGGCCATCTCTGGACTCCAGACAGGCTTACATGAACACTCGGTTATCAATCTGTGTGCTAAGAGTAATTCTGGTGTCTCAGGCCATAGGGTTTTGTGTAAGTGATATACTGAGAGTTTGCTCTTGGGAGAGACCTGTAAGGAAGTAAGAGAAGCAAACAATGGAGCAGGGGAAGGAGCTGAGAAAGCCTCAGCCCTCAGGGAGCTCTGGAGTGTCAACTTCTAGACAGACCACTTCCTGCCTTGAGGGGAGGAGGTTGAGCTGTGTGACAGTCCTTCCCCACAGGGGCAGGGGAAGTCATGACCTCCTAGGCAGGTGTCTCCCATCAGCCTAAGGCAATTCAGGGGAAAAGGGCGCAAATGTGAATGATTAGTCCCGGGTCTGGGTGATGGTGCACAGGCCAAGAAGGGGATGTGGTGGCCACCAACACTTACTCTTATTTTGCAGCACCAGAAATGGAGACTCCAATACTTAAGCCATTTTTCCAGAGTTTCACAGCAAATAAAAACATAGCATGCTTGGTTAAATTGGAATTTCAGATAAACAAAAAATAAAATTTTAGTACAGCCATGTCCCAGCTAATATTTGGGACATGCTTGTACTAAAAAAAAGTATCTGGAATTCAAATGGAATTGAGTGCCCAGTACTTTATCTGGCAACCCTGAAGCTCAACAGAGGCCAGTTGGTGTGCCTTTTGCATAATGCCAGATATTTGGGGCAAATG